ACTTATAATAGGGCAATCACAGATATAGTGTTGAAGAGTATATCCCAGCTCTTGTTCACATACTTTACAATTTGAATGTTCACCTCTGGGGGACTAATTACTTGCGGCCACTTGCCATATATATTAATATCCCAGCCTAATTCTGGCAACTACAATGTCACACTGTCCAGTGGATGTTTTATGCTGCCGATGGGGGGTGGATCTGCTGCATGGGTTCTTCTCTGGTTCTTCTCCCCCGTATCAACCTACCCTGGTGCAGGAGAGACCGACAACCAGAGCGCAACTTTATAGTCTCCTGAGACTGATAGATGCAACATAGGTACTATAAATATTTAGTCACATATGTGCTGTGTTATAGCGAGAACTGGTTGCAATAACCATTATGGCCATCTGTCTGAGCCACAGTAACCACATCTCTCACCGTTACACTGTCATTGCCGGAGTCCTGAGTGGTGGTGTGGCTGCCTGTTGCTTGAGCTTGACGAACTAAAGGTGACTCCTTTACCCACGCATTCGTCCGGTTCACTGGCGCTGTTTGGTGCTCTGCTGTTCTCCCAGTGTCTGCTACAAAGCAGGCAAGAGCTCTTACTCATTCTCCTTTCGGGGAACATCCATACTCGGCCTCATGCTACACACAGCGGAGCTGGCGTTGTGAACACCTCCACAGTTGCAGCATCGGGGAACTATTTTCTCACCCAGCTGAAGTTTGTTTCTACACACATTAGAGAGGTGAGACTTTTCGCAGAAATGACATCGTGGATCATGTTGACAGCTCCAAGATTTATGCCCCCATCGGCAGGATTTCAGGCATATTATGGGCTCTTTCACATACTTTGCTACATGCCTGTAGCCAGCCCCGGTGATGAACACACTTTCGGGAACTTCACCTCTCACTAGAGCCACAACCTGATTCCTATCTTCACCTTTAATAAGGTGACACTTGGCCCACACAAAATCATTGGTTGTCGAGGATGAATTCGGGGTCTATAATGTGAGGGTATTTGTAACAGCCCGTCCTCCAAAAATGGGGAGGTAAATGTAACAGCACAAGTGCAATTATGTACTATGCATAGCAGGAAGGAATTCTACTAATTTTCACTTAGTATTAAACCGTACTGTCAAATATATTGTGAATATTTGAGTTTACCTGAAAAGCTATATAGAAAACCACAACCCAGCCTTCTTAGTATTTGAAGATAAGCAGTTGTTGTAGTTATAGATTCAGCTACTCGGAACAAGTTCCAAGTAGCACGGGCTATGGTGAGCCCGTAACTTACCTGACAGGAGCGGGGCAAATTGCACGGGCTATGGAGAGCCCGTAGTGGACTTACCTGGCCCGTAGAGCCCGTAGTGGACTTACCTGGCCCGTAGAGCCCGTAGTGGTCTTACCTGGACTTACCACGAGCACCACGAGTGGTGCTCGTGGTAGATAAGCATTTTATTGCTTCTTAATTACAATTAATACTTACCCTATAACTATATTGATATTACAGTTTATAAAACTAATAAAACAAAAAAATATATCAATAAATTGTAAAGTAACTAGATATTTTATAAAAAAAAATGAAAATATCCTTTGTTTAATAAAACTGAAAAGAAATTCCTGATATTTAAAACTTGTGTATAGGGAATGGAACTTGAAAACTTCATCCAAAACTTCTGAGTATCTTAACAGAAAACGAGGAGAATAAATGGGGAGGTAAATGTAACAGCCCCATAAGTGCAATTATGTACTATGTATGACAGGAAATTTACTTATTACACTTGGTATTAAACCGTACTGTCAATTCGGGAGATGGGTTGTCCTCTAGCGGCGTTGTGATGCAGGAGCCTGATCTTCGCCGTGCTGGTCTACCTGTCGGGTCGGATCTGGCTTCGGCGGATGTTCTGGTTTCTTCGGGGGCGTCCCTTCCGCCGCTCTCAGGATCGCTATGTTCGGATCCCAGGAGCCTTGCGTCGCCGGCTTCCTCCGAGGGGTTTTCGGGGTTCTGTGCCCTGATGCCTCCCCGAGCCCTCGTTCGACGTGTTCACGGATGCCTCGTCTCGACTGAGGTTTTGTGACCAATGCTCACCAGGCCGGCCAGAGTTAGTGGGGTCCGTCCTTCCGTCGGGCTCACAGCACGGCGCAGGAGTTTACAGCTGTGTGGCATTCGCTTCAGAGGGTTCGTGTTGCTCGTGGAGCAACGATCCGGCTCCAGTTGGACAGCTCCCCGATGGTTCATTGTCTGAACCACGGGGGGTTTGATGCGGTCCTTGGCTCTTTGGGGCTGGTCGCTTCAGGTGACTCGTTTGCCGAGTTTTCGGGGTTTAGCTCTCCTGGTGGTTCACTTTCAGGGGTGTCAGATGGCCTGGCGGATGGCCTGTCTTGATTCATTTCCCTATCCACGGAATGCATGGTCGACACAGATTCGTTCAGTTGGCTCTGCAATTATGGTCTGGTTGTTTTGTCCTTTCTCTCTTGGTTGTTTCAGGACCGTCATCTTATGCCAGATACTATCGCCTCGTTTCGAGCGGCACTGGCGGAGCCGCTGCAGTTTGCTTTTGGGGTGGATGTCATTTCTGCTCCATTCAGCAAGTTTTCTTGGGCGTTTTTTCATCTCCGGCCTGCTCATGTGCCGCCGGAGCCGTCCTGGTCTTTGCACCGGGTGCTCGCTTCTCCCTTCTCCTCGGTTCAGGACTGTTTTTCTATGGCTCTTCTTGTTGGAATTGACCTATGAAGGTCGGGTCAGAGAATTTCATGCTCTCCTCCGGCGCAGGGTTTCTGCTCTTTCGGTCCTGGTGGTCATTTCTTCGATTGCAGCCGTCTCCTTTTCTGACGAAGAATGAGTCTGCTGCTTTCCAAAGGGAGTTCTTGGGTTGTTGATGCTTGGTTGGTCCGGCCAGGGGTGCATCATGTTTTGTGTCTGTTTGTGGCTCTTTGCCGTTATTTGTGCACCGCGGCCTCTGTGGCAGAGGACGCGCTTTGGGTTGACCCAGTTTCACCTCTTCCCTATTCCAGGGCTCGGGTCTCCAAGGTTGTCCGCAGGATTATTCGGTCCAGCCAGCCTGCAGTCTATCCCCGTGCCCACGCTGTTGTTAAGTTCGGCGTTCGGCTGCTGTTTTGGTAATATGTCCTGGCCTATCTTCTGCACGGGGCTTTTGGAGGTCGAATAGGCTCCTGGCTGCACGTTACCTTGTTAATGTTCCTAGTCCTTCTCAGGCGTGTATAGCCTTGGGTCGCTGGTTGCGGCCAGTTGTCTCGACTTTGTGTTGAGGAGCGTGACAACCGCCTCCCAGGCGAGTTCCTTTTCTTATCTTTGGCTAGGTAGCTCGGGGAGCCGAAGGGGCTCTCCACAGAAACCAGCGTTGAATGTAATGAAACGCCATTTTCTGGGTGAGACCCGGAGGCTCCCTGATATCACTAACTCCCTCCGGTCGGTCGGCGGTTTTCGCGTTTTCTGGTACTCAGTCTCTGAACTGAGACTTGCCGGCGTGGAGGTCTGGGCACACTCAGGTGTGCCCAATGGCACACCTGTCACAGTTGTGGCACACAGTCTACGTCTCAATTTTCTTTACTCAGGCTGTAGCCATGCGTATAGTGCTCTGTGAGGCAGGCTGTGACCATGGGTATAGTGCTCTGAGGCAGGCTGTGGCCATGGGTATAGTGCTCTGTGAGGCAGGCTATGGCCACGGGTATAGTGTTCCGTAAGGCAGGCTATGGCCACGGGTAAAGTGCTCTGTGAGGCAGGCTGTAGTCATGCGTATAGTGCTCCATGAGTCCTGAAATCTTTTGCATTTAAATTATACCATTCGTCCATGTCAGGGGAACTCGGAGCCGCCTTTCTTCTGCGCTCAACATTTCACGTTTTCTATAGTTCCAAGTCTAATAGAGAGGAGCAGCATATCACAAAATGATAAAATGAATACGCAGGTGATGAGTCACAATAACGTGGCTGAAGTATGTTGACCAGACCACACACTCGAAGGTGAAGGGACGACGACGTTTCGGTCCGTCCTGGACCATTTTCAAGTCGATGGTGTGTCAAGTCGTCTTAGTGTGTGGTCTGGTCAACATAAAACAAATACATAAATCCCCACGCATAAATGCTTATAGTAAAGTAACACAGTACTGTGAGTATATTACTTGAAAATTGTGTACTGTGAATTTGATATTTCCTTTTGGCATCGTGGTGGGAAATTACAGGAAATTACAGTGTTCCCAGTTTAGTCCTGCGCCGTGTCACTTCCATTGGCACGTAAAGTTGCGTGATCAAATTCGTTATCTGGTAACCCAAGGGCGATTGAAGGGACTACAGTACCTCCATATAGCTTGAAGAAGCATTGTCCCATTTGCCTCTCATTTTACCTGTATTAACACCTTAATTTTTTTAAGATGTATATACAAGAGAATGTCTATTTACTGAAGGTGTGTTTGGGGATAATCTAACATAACTTTGCAGGGTGAATAGTGACTGGTATGTGATCAACAAGGGTGGCCCGGGGTTGTCTCCATTGCTCCCATTAAAAGATGGTGAAGTTGGTGGTGTTCCTGGCACTGGGACGCACTCATGTCAGGAAATTGCATGTAAAATACTACTCGCTATTATTTGGCCGCATTAAGACGAATAAATGATGATGATGTCAATGATCCAACTGCCTGCCGTATTTCAGGATGTGTTGACGTGGGTTGGTGATGTGCACATGAATGCATATCCCCATTATCTTATTTCTTAGTTTTTTTTTTTAGTTTTCTTTGGTGGTGAGATACCGGATCAACCCGGGCACCACCGGGTCCCCATTTTAGATGCCTTGTATAGGATGTTTCAGGTCCTAGCAGTTGAAGTCACATCCAGCTACATCCTCCTGTTTCATAGCCCTTGACGTCCTCTCGTGCTGCTGCAGCTGTCCTGAGTGTGCCCCTCGGCCAACTACAACTATATCCACACATCCAGCTGTATATACCCAAGCCTACTCTCATTACAAACACAAACAAGGCATAAGGTTATGTCAATACATTTAGTTTATTATTTCTGCAAATTTTATTATTGAGCATAAACCTAAATTTCTACATTTAATCATGGTAGTATTTTTTTTTATAAGAAAACAGACTTTGCGACAGCTACTTTACAAGTGCACCATCAACCACAGCAACGACTAACCTCAATGTATGTGTGTGTGTGTGTGTGTGTGTGTGTGTGTGTGTGTGTGTGTATTAATTGATCAGACAAAACACTCGGAAATTGTTTGTAACAGTTTATACACTGGAGAAACTACACTTTCGTAGTGCTTGCATGTAAGTAATGTCCCTATACACTTGTAAATGAAATTTTAAATCAAGTTTTCGGATGAAATCTACAACCCTTAAGAAGGTGCTGTTAAACTATGTTCAACAACAAGTTGATGAAGGATGCAAGTGTCACCCGAGAATTTGGTTTATTATAACACTACTGGTATTGGATCTTTTCTAAACCTTCAGCATTTACATTTATATATCTGTTAGACAAGTTAATGTATTTTTATCGTTGGAATTTGTGAACTATTTTGCCTTTATCCAAATGTGCAGTGCAAGTGCTAGTATTACACCACCTCATGTGCAGTGTAAATGTTAGTTAGACCATCACACGTGCAGTGTAAATGTTAAACTACCTCATGTGCAGTGTAAATGTTAGTTAGACCACCACATGTGCAGTGTAAGTGTTAGACCACCTCATAACGTCCCAGTGAAGTCACATCAGTAACTGACCTGTCGTCTGGCCAATCCATACATTACTTGCAAGTAGAGATCTCTATACAAGTCCTCGAAACTTTTGCACAACATTTCTTTATAACCATTCAGCCGCCAGTATTCCAAGAGAGTTATTTTTCTTCAAATAATGACGGTATAGTCAACCACATATGCAACTTGTGAGCATTTCATGCACAATTTCCCCCGAAACGATTATTTGGCAACCACTTTCTGCAACACTGCAAATGAATGACAGATCAATACTTACTACAACTTTCTATGAAGCACAGACACACACTACACTATACAATTAGTTATTAAAATTTTAAAAAATCTTTTAGAGTACTGGGCAAGCACACGACTTATTACTTGGGGAGTAATGTACTTATTGTCAAAAATATAAACATCGTCCTGCAAGTAAGATCTGTACATAATAAGGCTTCTCGAGTTAAACATTTATACTGTACGGGCTTTTCTGAGAACCTCGTTGTTGGTCAGATTGTGGCGCGTGTTGCTGATGCTCGTAGTGTTGCTGGTGCTGCTCGTAGTGTTGCAGCAACACAGTCAGCTCGGCGGGCAGGCTATCCCTGTTACTTTTTCCATTGTTATTTCTTGCTTGAGAGGCGTCATTCCCAGTGGTGGCCTGAGCCATCTCTCTGTCACACTCCGCCTCAGAGAGTTCCCTCGAGTCAGAGAAAGCCGAGGGTGGGTGTAGAGGTCTGGGAGGAGTCAAGGGAGAGGTCTCGCTCGAGGAAGAGTCGCTCCGCACTCTGAGGAAACCCAAAATTAGTTGGAAAGTGATCAGGAAAAATAATTAGATTCTAAACGAAAATTATATTTTTTTATTTAAATAAAATGTATTAAGTAAATAATAAACCAGTACTTGAGATAATTTAAAAGGTCATATTTAGATAAAATGTGTTTGACATTACACCATTCAGTTTACGAGTTCAGTGAAACCTGTGTAATTAGAAACCCCGAAGGACTGAACACACATTGCAACCACCGCACCATTCTACTCTTTTCATTTTAAATGAGATTACTTGTAAATTAATTAAGTCATTTGGAAATACTGTACAACTGACTGCATTTATCATAGCGTATAATACAGGTATGGTGCGATACACGTAAGGTATATTAAATTATTCACGCAATTTTTGTTTTTTTATAATCGGATGTAATGAAATGCCTCCATCTGGGCCCGACCTCAGTTGCTTATGTCAGGCCTGTTACATGTCAGACTTGCACAACGTCAGGGATCCTAACAATAGCTTATGAGAAAATCCACTGGGATTGTGAGGTGACACGAACCCGCGACCAAGGCATTGCCAGCAGCATACTCTACCACTGGACCACCACTGACTTGTAAAAGTCTTACAACCGAATTTCTACTGAAATCACAGGAAGTCTGGAGGCAACGCCAGAAGTCAGTCCAAGTGTTTACTTAAGACCCCCGAGCACTCGGGTGAACGGTAAAGTAGTTCAACACTGGACGCCCCAATTTCAGATCTCACTGATGTATATCACGTTAGAGGGATTTTGTGTGTGTATCTGAAGTTGGGACTTACGGTGTTGAACTACTTTACCCTTCACTCGAGTTCTTGGGGGTCCCATTTGCATCCCAACCGCGGTCGGGTCAAGACGTACCTGCTCCCGCGACTATGGGGTGAAGTTTTTATTGGTGTTTAGCTCAGTCTACACACATGGGGATTGACTAATGCCCACCATATACTACACACCTTGCACCATGCTGGATGGCGAGATGAAGATTGGACAACAGAGGATACTACAGATCGAACTACTCCCCACGACAATATTGACATGGACACAGATTCTGAAAGCAGCAAGTCAATAGTGGAGAATGATTTTCAGGAAGTGTTAACCAGGGGACAGAAGAAACGGAGAAGAAAGGAGCCGAGGCAAAGAGTTGATAGTGATAGAAACGACAAGAGAATGAAGAACAACGCTGAGAATGATCAAACCAGTGTCAACGAAAGGAAAGAACAATGTCGGGAACTCGCCCAGGAATGTGACGGTCAGCGGAGGTGGAGGCTTCTCTTCCCTGCCTCATACACATTGACCTGCCACCAGAAGCTGCTGTGGACAGTCAACCTAGGAACAGAGTACCGCAAGTTCGAGCCCCTGCTGATAGAAGGTGTGAACAGGCTTTACTTAACGGTAGGTTCTGTGGAGGCTGCTGTGTTCCTGAGCCAGTAAGGATATCGTGGAATTGTCGTGGAAACACCAGAGGAGAATGAGAAAATGAGGCGATTATTTACAAATACCTTCATATTCTAGACCCCGTATTCATCCTTGACGACCAATTATTTGTGTGGGCCAAACGTCACCTTATTAAAGGTGAAGCTAGGAATCACAATTCCTGGCTTCACCAATTCCCTCAGCAAAGTATCACCAAGATTTTGGTGAGGGGTGAAGTTCTCGAGAAAGTGTTCAACACCGGGGCTGGTTACAGGCATGTGGCAAAGTATGTGAAAGAGCCCATAATATGCCTGAAATGCTGCCGATGGGGGCATAAATCTTGGAGCTGTCAACATGATCCACGATGTCGTTTCTGCAGAAAGTCTCACCTCTCTAATGTGTATAGAAACAAACTTCAGCTGGGTGAGAAAATAGTTCCCCGATGCTGCAACTGTGGAGGTGTTCACAACGCCAGCTCGGCTGTGTGTAGCATGAGGCCGAGTATGGATGTTCCCCGGCCGGAGAATGTTACACAGCAGGCAAGAGCTCTCACTCAGAGACCGGAAGAACAGCAGAAAAGTTTGCACCAAACAGTGCCAGTGAACCAGAATAATGAGTGGGCACGAGGGTCACCTTTAATTAGCCCCCACCTCGGGGGCTTGGTCGCCCACCCCACGACCCTGAGAAGATAAAAGAGGAACAGATTGCAACAGAGACGAGAAGCAAGACGTTCATTCACGAATGTGCCCCCTACACCCACCACGAAGCCACAATTAGAGGCAGGACACCCAACAAGAGAGACGTTGCCGATATTCCCGGGGCTCCCCAGGGGTGCGTCATGAGCATACGCCCCACAAACGCCACTAAGAACCGTTAGTCCGTCGAGATCGGGCTCAGTGACGAAAGGAGGATTAACAATAAAAGGTTCCCCTCGCTCGAGACATTGGGTACTACAGTTCTACGGGTGCAAGAGTATGCCTCCTCAAACACCCGGGCGTCAAAACAAAAGAAGACCAAAAGAATGATCAAAACAGGCACAAGGTCAGCAGGATATGACAACGAGAAAGGAGAAGAGGGGGGGGGGGGGGGGGAGTAAAACGAATCAAAAGGAAAAGTTGTCAAGCAGAATTAGAGAGGACAGCAGCAGGAGCACAAGGCTACAAAAGGACAGGGGACCGCCCCAAGGAGCATCACACTCCGGCAGCCGCCCACCAAGCCCCCTCACGGCAACAACGAGGTGGACAGGGAGGGGGTCATTGGAGCTAAATTTGTCCCAGCGAGACAGGTTAAATTAGAAAATGGTGACTCCTGTGGTCCTCTCACAGACGCCTTAGCTGTTTTGCCTAGATGTCAAGAAGTGGTTAGAGGGCCTACATTTACTCTATTTTGGTACTGATAATTAAGTTGATTCTAGGGAAATGTTTTTATGATGTTTATATGAATAAATCTACAAGGGCCGTGATGAGGGTTCGAACTTACGTCCGAGAGAATCCCAGACGCACCTTAATCGACTGTGCTACATGGTAAAAGAATTGCAACCGGGAGTTCAACTGACCTCACACGGACCCTGCAGTCTCTCCGAGACACAAACCAGGGTTTTACACTATTCCCCCCATGTACTCGAGCTTTGTCAATAAGCTGTTCTACCTCTTCGCCCTTACTTCATTGCACACACAAGTCACAATAAGTGATTTCTGTGTGTAATGTTGCTTATAGTCCAAAGACTGATGTATTAAGAACGTTTCCTATTTGCTGGTGAATTTAATAGTAACGTGACAATTATATCCCCTTTTTTCTACTGAGGAAAATTCCACTGTGCCACATTTTCTATGAGTGATTAAAGCACTATTTCTAGGGTTAATTTGTTATTACAAAACAGCAGCAATATTATCTGCCCATTGTATTAAAGTTTAGTTAATGGTGTCGGTTTTTCCGACAGTATAACTAAGTTTCTCTTCAGTAACACTTCTCTATGAAACAAGTGTTAAACTATGGTCGACACACAACTCTCCAAGTATAGCTCGAGAAAGCTATTTAAATTAAATATAAATTATACTATTTAAATATTACTGCAATGGCATTTCTTCCATATCAATGGAAACACTGAACAAAGCTCTATGTTCGTTACAGACAAATATTAATTTAAATTTCTTAACACTAATAAACAAAATATTTTATATTTTTAATCTCGCTAAAATTTAATTTGTTCAAATTATCCTCCAGGACATCTATAAGACACTCAGATTTATTTATATATATATATTATATATATATTATATATATATTATATATATATATATTATACTTTAGTATATTTTGGTAGCAGTCTTTCCTGTAGACATATTTTATTAAATATGACCGAAAAAGTAAGATTAATAATTCTAACACGAATTTTCTCAATCTTTCGTACATTATGCTTCACTGTTGGAGGTAAATCAAAAATCACTTCTCCAAAATTCATTTTTATTTCTAGTCTGACGCGACACGGGCGCGTTTCGTAAAACTTATTACATTTTCAAAGACTTCACAAATACACAACTGATTAGAACTTGCATTTCCCTGATTTTATATCTACTTTTGAGTGAGGTGGGAAGGGTGATGTGGCATTACATTTGAGTGAGGTGGGAAGGATGATGTGGCATTAGAGGATATTAATAGGGTATTAAAAGTATCAACACAAGACAGAACACGAAACAATGGATATTGAATAGAAGTGTTTGTAGAAAGCCTATTGGTCCATATTTCTTGATGCTTCTATATTGGAGCGGAGTCTTGAGGTGGGTAGAATATAGTTGTGCAATAATTGGCTGTTGATTGCTGGTGTTGACTTCTTGATGTGTAGTGCCTCGCAAACGTCAAGCCGCCTGCTATCGCTGTATCTATCGATGATTTCTGTGTTGTTTACTAGGATTTCTCTGGCGATGGTTTGGTTATGGGAAGAGATTATATGTTCCTTAATGGAGCCCTGTTGTTTATGCATCGTTAAACGCCTAGAAAGAGATGTTGTTGTCTTGCCTATATACTGGGTTTTTTGGAGCTTACAGTCCCCAAGTGGGCATTTGAAGGCATAGACGACGTTAGTCTCTTTTAAAGCGTTCTGTTTCGTGTCTGGAGAGTTTCTCATGAGTAGGCTGGCCGTTTTTCTGGTTTTATAGTAAATCGTCAGTTGTATCCTCTGATTTTTGTCTGTAGGGATAACGTTTCTATTAACAATATCTTTCAGGACCCTTTCCTCTGTTTTATGAGCTGTGGAAAAGAAGTTCCTGTAAAATAGTCTAATAGGGGGTATAGGTGTTGTGTTAGTTGTCTCTTCAGAGGTTGCATGGCTTTTCACTTTCCTTCTTATGATGTCTTCGATGAAACCATTGGAGAAGCCGTTATTGACTAGAACCTGCCTTACCCTACAGAGTTCTTCGTCGACTTGCTTCCATTCTGAGCTGTGGCTGAGAGCACGGTCGACGTATGCGTTAACAACACTCCTCTTGTACCTGTCAGGGCAGTCGCTGTTGGCATTTAGGCACATTCCTATGTTTGTTTCCTTTGTGTAGACTGCAGTGTGGAAACCTCCGCCCTTTTCCATGACTGTTACATCTAGAAAAGGCAGCTTCCCATCCTTTTCCGTCTCGTAAGTGAAACGCAGCACGGAACTCTGCTCAAATGCCTCCTTCAGCTCCTGCAGATGTCTGACATCAGGTACCTGTGTAAAAATGTCGTCAACATACCTGCAGTATATGGCCGGTTTCAAGTTCATGTCGACTAAGACTTTTTGCTCGATGGTACCCATGTAGAAGTTTGCAAACAGGACACCTAGGGGAGAACCCATAGCGACCCCATCTACTTGCTTATACATATGCCCATCCGGGCTCAAGAAGGGTGCCTCTTTAGTACAAGCTTGGAGTAGTTTCCTCAGAATACTTTCTGGCATGTCAAGAGGAGTACAGGCTGGATCACGATACACTCTGTCGGCTATCATTCCGATTGTCTCGTCCACAGGTACGTTGGTAAACAGCGATTCTACGTCCAACGAGGCTCTTATCCCTGTGGCCCGTGCGCCCCGCAGTAAGTCCACAAATTCCTTTGGAGACTTCAGGCTGAAGGCGCAAGGAACATAAGGAGTCAGCAGGCCGTTGAGTCGCTTTGCCAATCTGTACGTGGGTGTGGGTATCTGGCTAATGATTGGCCGAAGTGGGTTTCCAGGCTTGTGCGTCTTGACATTTCCATACGCATATCCAGGTTTATATTCCCCAATGATCTTTGGCAGGTGGAGTCCGGATTTCTTGGCGTTCACAGTTTCGATCAGTTTGTTGACCTTTGCTTTTAATTCGGCTGTAGTGTCCTTCGTTACCCTTTGGAACTTAGTTTGGTCAGAGAGTATGATGTTCATTTTCGCCAGATATTCGTCTTTTTTAAGAATGACATATATTGGCGACTTGTCACCTCTCCTGACAACTATCTCCTTGTTCTCGCGAAGGCTTTTAGCTGCCGCTCTAAGCTCGGGGGACAGTATGGTGCTTCTGTAGTTGCCTCGATTCTTTCCTCCTTCTGCAATAAGTTCTGCTTGTAAGGTATCTTTGGTAGTGACCTTCTTTTAATACCCTATTAATATCCTCTAATGCCACATCATCCTTCCCACCTCACTCAAATGTAATGCCACATCACCCTTCCCACCTCACTCAAAAGTAGATATAAAATCAGGGAAATGCAAGTTCTAATCAGTTGTGTATTTGTGAAGTCTTTGAAAATGTAATAAGTTTTACGAAACGCGCCCGTGTCGCGTCAGACTAGAAATAAAAATGAATTTTGGAGAAGTGATTTTTGATTTACCTCCAACAGTGAAGCATAATGTACGAAAGATTGAGAAAATTCGTGTTAGAATTATTAATCTTACTTTTTCGGTCATATTTAATAAAATATATATATATATATATATATATATATATATATATATATATATATATATATATATATAAATATATAAAAATATATATATATAAAAAAAAAAAAAAAATTTTTATGAAAAAGATGCAGCGTCAAAAATCCTCAACATCTGCAATTATTACATAACTTACTTTGTGTATACTCTGACCAGTGACACGTAATATGAAGTCAGTGGTTCGAGGCTTCTTGAGTTCAAGTAAATGTAGTGTAATAAGATTATATTTTTGGTTTTCATAGTGAACAATATTCATTGGCAACATAAGAGTTGTCTGTTTTCTATTAAATGAAGGTCGTAATGTAGGTAATAAATTCGGTTTTATAAGGGCAATAAAATGTTGAACAAATAATGGTTAGGTCCCCTTAGTTAGAAAGAAAAATCCTATCGTGTATAGAAATCTGGAGGAGGAGGGAAGGGTAAGGGATGGTGCGAGCTGTGCCAGCCACGGTCCACCTACATAGCTCAGCCTCCACTACCTGAGACTACCTGGCATGGCGAACAGGCGGTAACGGGTGGGGCCCTACACGCACTGCTGCTTGCTGTTGCTGCTGCTGCTGTAGGGCCTGCTGCTGCTGAGGGGCCAACTGCTGCTGCTGTGGGGCCAACGGCTGCTGTTGCAGGGCCAACTGCTGCTGTTGCGGGGCTAACTGCTGCTGCTGCTGCTGCTGCGGCGGCGGCGGCATCTGTGGATGCTGGTAATGCTGCCGTTGTTGTACTGGTGATGAAGCATCGTTACTCTCTGTGCTAGAGTCCCGACGCGTGGCCTCTGCTGAAAATTATATTATGTACTATTTATATCAGAATGTGTTTTCTGTCATGCTAGGAAAATATATTATATCGTCTGAAACATATGTTGCACAAAAAATAGAGCACCGAGTTTAACTAGACTCCTTTCTGCGACTCCGTCAGTAGCTCCGCTCGCTTATTTGCTGGCAGTTATTACTGAGGCTCAACAGTGCCAGGTATCCTTGCGACATTCTACCTACTGGACACTAGACCCTCTGTAAATTCCCCCTTGCCTTCGCTGCCAGGATGAGAGTTGAAGCGGATCAAAGATCAATCGTATACTGAGAAAACTATTGTAATCAGCGACAGAAGACATTTGAGAAATGTTTTTGAAAAATACTGAGCAAGCAAATAAGACTGACAATTGCTGTATTAAACAAACGTTCAGCAGCCCAAGAAGTTCCACAACGACCCCAACTCTTATAGGAAGGACAGCGGGGTCCCCTGCGTAAAGACGGACTGGCACCTGACACCACCCTCTCCACCCCCCCAACCACAAAACACAGAAAAGGGAGAGGCGCCAGCACCACGAAACACGAAGGTGAACATCTTATGCACAGTCTCGGTGGCTGACTCAGCCGGCAGCAAGGAACGGGAAGAACCCAAGAAACCGCTGACAGCTCAGAACGCAACTGAGTGAAGAATATTTCCTGTGCGGGATAAAGCAGGAGTGAGATGTCCCACTAAACACCTAAGCCTTGTGGTAAACAGCGACCATAGTCGAAAGATAACAGGCATTTCTGGACACGCAGCTGCCAAGTACACTCATCGTGGGACAAGGCAGATTTAAACAATGTCCTATTAAGAAGGGTGGTCCCGACGGGAATACATTCAAGACTGGGGAGGTCTCCCTCCAGTCTACCACCTCTGAACCACTAATTTCAGTAGTATTAAATAAGCAATATTGCATAAACATTAAGGGTCAAGTGATTGAACAGTCTCTTGTCAGTGTACAAGCCTAGTAATCACCATCAGCACTCACATACAGTAAGTACCTTGTCAGTGTACAAGCTGTTACGGTGCCCTCCCATTTCTTCCCTGATCCATCATAATCATATCTTCATACCTTGCAGGTTCCCCGAGACGCAAGGAATCGTTTGATATAGGAGGCAGCTGGAAAGATTACGTATTTGTGGAGAAATTGTCAATTTTAAGTTTTGCAGGTAAAGGGGCTTATGCCCTTGTACATACAAAATGGCGACGTCCCTGTCAGGTTGGCGCCAAGACCGTGAGGGCGTCAGCAGGCTGGCTGAGGTCACGTGACGTGAGTGACCAATCAAAGCCCGCCCCTGGAGGCTGTGACGTCACTGGGATGCCTGGCTCAGAACCTGTACTTGATGCTTGATACTTGCTTGATGGGGTTCTGGGAGTTCTTCTACTTTCCAAGCCCGGCCCGAGGCCAGACTTGACTTGTGAGAGTTTGGTCCACCAGACTGTTGCTTGGAGCTCTCGAGATTGAAAGTTTTAGAAGCCTCGCTCAGTAGATTGAGCAGCCTAATGCAGTCTATCATCGTCATAGACTGCATTAGGCTGCTCAATCTACTGAGCGAGGCTTCTAAAACTTTCAATCATCGTCATTGGAGACTAGTGTGCGGAGCACGAGGAAGCAGAGTTTAGTGGAAAAAAGAGCACCAAGAGCTCATTGCTGTTAGTCTACGACGAAAGTGAGAGGCGACACTGGGAGGGCAGTCCAAAGCCCTGCAGGTCCCGCTCTGGTACGATGTGCGAGCTGCCGTGCCCGGGTCTCATCTACTGAAGATTTGGAGGGGAAACACCACATCTGGATCCATGAGAAATCGTCTCTGTGAAGGAGCGAGTTAGGAACGCGAACACTGATAAGCTCAGTGACCACTGGTTGGACCAGCTTGGAAGAACTGAATTCAAGGAATAGGAACGGCGACGACACGTTACTCCACGACCCCGGGACATCCTGTGACACGACCGGAACACCGAGGAGCGACCCAGGGACCGTTACTTCTACAATCATCGGAGTACAGGCGTCGGTGGACAGAATTGTATTAAGGTTGATCATTATTTCCCTCCCATTGTCCCTTGATAACTAGGCTAGATAGGCCCCTATATGTATTTTATATTATGTTAGGAGTACATGCAGAAGCAACGACTTGAGGTTAGTACCGAGTTTTCCTTCACTCTTCCGTGGGTACAAGGCCAGATCACGAGTAGCTATTCCACCTGTGGTACGACTGAAGGGCTTTCAGTGCGATCAGTGGCACCCGAGAGTGTGTGGGAGCAAAGACTCGCGGCGATGGTCGTGGTGTGGTCCCCATCTCAGGCACCGACACAGACCCCTTGGCCTCGTAACAAAGCCTAGTAATCACCTTCACCACTCACATTCAGTACCTCGTCAGTGTACAAGCCTAGTAATCACCTTCACCACTCACATTCAGTACCTCGTCAGTGTACAAGCCTAGTAATCACCTTCACCACTCACATTCAGTACCTCGTCAGTGTACAAGCCTAGTAATCACCTTCAACTCTCTCATACATATAGGCCAAAAAACCCAGTTTGGATATTTAAAAAAATCAGATACTATATTCCCCATTCTGCTCTTCTCACACTATATTGCTCGCTAATTTATCCCTACACCCGTACACATAATATATTTACTACGGGTACATAAGGCTTAACCATGATAAACTACCTCAAACCCACCAATACCCTGCGTACATCACCTACCAGACTAATTAATAATCTACAAAACAACGATTTTGTCTTAGAACAACATATATCCCATCTGTTCAAATCCCTAATCCCACTCCATACACTTCAGTGAACTGAAGACACTTAATGAGACTTATTCCTTATTAATTACCCTGATTTTAAACTCTTCCAAGATGGTTGTAATGAAACCCTCCAGCGCCACACCGGAAATAAGTCAAGTAACATCATACAAATTTGACATGCAAATTCAAGGATACAATTAATGAAACTCCCTAATAACTTAAATTACTTATATAATTTACTCAAAAGTAAAACAGAACTTGTTAAAAATTTCTTCCCCACCTTGTACTACTAAGTTACCTAGTACTTTGCTATCTAGACAAGTTATCATTATCATCACCGCATCCTATTACAAATGTTATATTCAGTAATAATGTTAACTCAAATTATTACAGTTTTTCCATCTGTTACTATAAGCTTATATTTTAAGATACAAAGGCTCTGACAACTGGTGCCAGGTGGTTGTTTTTTATAATGCCGACCTCTTGTACGGCTTCTGGAGCGATGTGGGCGACTCCTTGCATCGTTAATGGTGTCTGCAGCCCAAGTGATCTGTTCAACCGTCCCTCCTGCAGGTACTGGTGATGCTGCGGGAGGCTGGGCTCCTGGCATGGACTTGGGGCGGCTGCCATACTCTGCACGGTTACGATTGCTGATGTAGGAGATCTCTGAAGGGCACCAGAACAGTTATTATAAAACCCACTACCCACGCATATATGTACATGAACTCTCATATTTTACACACTTGGGGATCATAAACACAAATACACAACAAATACACAAGTCCTCAGTTACTCATGGCAAGAAGGAATAATTACCCCTCTTATATTGTTATGTGATTTTCTATCTCTAGTCATAGTACATCCTCGTCTAGCTACTTGCTAGACGAAGATGTACAGCCCACCGTACTCGTCGTACAGCCCACTGTACTCGTCGTACAGCCCACTGTACTCGTCGTACACTACAAGTACGTAGTGTAACTATTTATAGTACCTCTGGAACCATAATGGTGGAGACATAAGACTTCGAAATCCAGCGAGTGTGGTGACCTGTAGGACCAAGTTTGGATGGTCCTACAGGTCACCACACTCGCCACAAGAAATAGAAGAATCCGGTGTCTATTCCAGGCTGCAGTGTTACAGCGAACAGCCTGAGCACAGTCCGACTTCCATCAGTGAACACACTTCTGCATGCCACGGTAGGCGTAGCGAGGAACAGAGTAGAGGACACCGTTTAATAGTGTCAAGAAAAGATGGGCTTGACTGAACGGTAGATTAGACAGGCCAGAAAGAACAGCATGGAGGGTGAACAATCTAGTCTGCCTTATTATTCAACTGTCACAGACACATTTGTCCCATTTCCCTCGAGGGGCAGGAGTTGGGGTCTAGGACACCCCTATCACACCCAGGGAGTTAGTTGTACCCGAGTTTTGGATACTATTCAAAGTTAGTCTGAATCAAAGCCTTCACATGCCTATTATTAGCACTAAAGGATCACACATGAATATGTTATCAACACACTCCACAGTCATCACACGTACTACACAGTTTAATTTTTGTTAACAAGAAATTGCTGGGGAAGGAGGAGGACAGTGCCAGGAGAGGAAAACTCTGCAGGAACCTTGCTCTTCATGTTCTTCATTTTCTCTCACTTATGCTGAACCATCGCCATCATGACAGGTATTTTCCAACTCTGTCTTATAATATCGTACAAGTTCAATTACGGGACTCCACGTTGTTGACGGGGCTTGCGTGATGGGTGGCCCCCCCTTCTCCCAGTTTTGCGGGCTTGTTCGGTGGGCCTGGAATTTAGTGGATGGGCCGATTATCCTGCCGTGGAATTGGTTTTGGTGACTACAGGTTTTGTTTCTGTAGCTGCGATCTATGTGTGGAATTGGTATCTTCGCATCAGGCTATTGTGAAGTTTGTGGAAGAGGGCAATCCTTGCCCCTGCCGGACGCTGCTGGTATGGTGACTGTTTCCGACCGGAGTGGTGCTCTCCCTTTTGTCAACATTTATGATGAGCTCCTGGAGTTCTCGGAGGAGCTGCTGCAGAGGTATTTTGGGCGGTTTGGAACTGTCATGAGTGTGAGGATTAATATGGTTTCCTCTGGGAAACTTAAAGTTGTCTGGACCAGCATACACACACTGGGGATGCGGCTGCGGTTGGACATCCTGTCCTCGGTGCAGCTCATGGGATATTACATCCGCGTTTACTACTCCCGTCAACCTCTATACTGTTCCTGATGGCATTCCTGGTGCTGCTGTGGATCCCCAGGATGCTCCCTCTCCATCTCCACCATCTTCAGCTTCTTCGTCTTTTGCGCCTGACCCTCTGCCTTCTCCTGTGGCTCCTGTCTCTCCGTCCCTGCTGCTTGTCCCGGCTGTGCTGGGTGGTGGTGTGGGTGCAGAGCCTCCTGCAGTGTTGGGGCCAGTCCCCCATGTCGTTGAGGCTGCTGACGTCTTGCATCGTGCAACGGTGCAAACCCTGCGTTATCTGTGCTTCAAGTTCCGCTTCCGGCTCTGACGACGTGCAGCCGGGTCCCAAGCGCACGCGGGGTTCTACTTCTTCTGCCTGGGCTGATGTGGGTCAATTTGACGATTGTGGGTCAGCAGATGTCGGTGGGGTGGTTCCTGGGGCAGTGGTGTCTACTCCGACAGTGGTAGTGGAGGTTCATGTGCCTGTTGGTGCTGCCGGTGACAGTATCTCCAAGTTAACCTCTGCTTTTCCTCTGGATATTATGGCGCAACCTCGTGAGCATTATCATCGTGGGGAGCATCCTGAGATGTGGCTTCGCTGGGAGGCGTACTGTATAAGGTTTCCGGTAGCGGAATTTCCGGACAAACACTTCTAGGGGTGACTTGTGTTGCTTCGCCTCCCCGTGCTGTGTTTGTTGGGGGCTCATCAGCCTGTGGTAGTGTGTCTAACTTTTCAACTGTGTTGTGGTAGTGTGTCTTTGTTTAACTTTTCTACTGTGTTTTATGTTCCCGGCTTCTGTGTGTGTGTTCTGTACTCCCTGATTTCTGTGTGTTCCAGTTCTGTAAGCGTGTCTGTATTTTCCGTGTGGCCCTTCTGGCATGGTGTGTCCTCTGCGTCGTGTCCCCCCTTTTGTGCCTCATGGCTGGCTTTGTGGTGTGTGTTTGTGTGTCTTGTTTTGTGTTCTGATTAATATTTTGTACTTGTTATGTTCTTATGTTACTGTTTTGTAGGCCCTTCAGGTCTGTGGTTGTGCTTTTGTTTATTATTCATTGTAATTGTTTTTTCTGTACGAATTTTTCTTATTTTTGTTCGCAGGCTTTGCATGTAAAAATAAACACACAAAAAAGTTTAATTACGTTTATTGCGACAATAAGATACTTCTGAAAAGAAGAGAGTTGCTTAGGCTAAATCTACCCTCTTCTACTTCAGGTCGCTCAAGGGGCTCAAGTCCAGTGAAGAAAATCCACAAATCACAGTACACAAATAATATTTTACGTTACACATTAAAATAGTTAACACTGCATTTTAGTGTTACACTCTTGGTGCAAAGTACTGTAGCTCCTAATGATTCTGTCTATCATTCCATTTTCACATATCCAAACTATTTGATGTGGTACACTACTGATGTCCTTATACCTATAGTTATCACAAAGTTGACACTAATCCATAGTGATGTAAGGTGTGGGCATGCGGCATGCTACATAATGTACACTACTTATCTTTTTAACTGACTTCAAGACTATTGCCAGAAATATTTATAACTAATGTCTTAATTATTATTTAATTACGCTGTTTTACAGCGTAATTGCTTTAACCGATTTACTAAACCCCTCTCTTATATTCACGAATACAATCTTACAATTACAACACAATCACTGCTTAAATAAAGGCAAATCTAATACTAATTGTTAACAAAACAGCACAATCAGCTTTACACGTCTATATATAAACTTGACCGAAACATCAGTTCTAAACACATAAAATAAAGAGAGTTCGTGTTACTTGCCTGTTTCTTTAAATTGGGAGAGTGAGCGCTGGCGTGGAGCACGAGGGTACGCTGGAGACTGGTGGTGGTGAGGGAGGCGGTCACTGTGGTCAGGATGGCCAGGGTGGTCCAAACACTCCCGAGGGTTCATGGCGTGTAGGGACAGGCCGTACTCTAGAGTGCCCTCCGAACTGCCCACGCTGAGTACAAGATCACCACAAAGTGAAATAATACCAATACGCACACCACAATAGGACGAAAAGACAACGAGGAAAAGGTCAGTTTGGCAACAATATGGTAGCAGGAGGTCGTACATAAACATGTTTTAGAAATCACACACAATTCTTGTATTATGGCAGCTGTGGTTCTTCACAGTTAGGGATGCTATTCAGGTGTATTTTGAAAGATTAATCTAGGTAGGGAGAAGGTTATATATAAGTGTTAGTATAGCATATGAGGTACCTGAAGGTGGCATAGGGACAGATTTCGTAGGGGTCTGACGTCTCATCTTGCGTCTTGAGCGAGGCCAGAGATCCTCGAGGCTTCTTGGTGGGTGTCGGGGAATACAGGTGGGCGCGCGTGAGCTCCGAGTTGCGCGCGTTGTCGTCCTCGCCACCCCCCTTGTTCTCCAAGTTCTCCCCCTGCCTGCTGACCACACACAATGTTCTTGTTACCTGTTGACTAGACACTAACAGTAAAGCTGTGAAGGTGACAGTTGAAGGCACTCACACACATCTTACGCTGGTCTTAGTAAAGGAAAGCGAGATATTTATTTTCTCGAGGAAGACGTAATACATACAACGTTACACATTTTTAAATCGAACTTCACATATTCAGTAGATTATGGAATATAAATAGCGGGATGAGGGCATGTGCCGCTTCTTTCTATGTCTATTAACAAGAGCTTACATTCGCAATTTAATTACAAAATATGCGAAGTAGAGCAATGTTTAAAATATATGTATTTTCTATGAGGATCTTTTAGCCAGCAAAACTGCTGACAAAGTAATGTATAGTGTAAATATTATGAAGTTGAAAGAACGTGGTCGTCGAGAGAGTCAAGTGTGAGCATGATAATAGCGGCAAGCTCACAAAGTCCCCCCAGTGATACATGAGTGTAGGACACGATGCCGGCCCCATGGATGGGCCCCCGGGGTAGGACCCAGGGAAGGGCCCCCGGGGTGGACCCCATGGGAGGACCCCGGGGTGGACCCCATGGGAGGACCCCGGGGTGGACCCCATGGGAGGACCCCGGGGTGGACCCCATGGGAGGACCCCGGGGTGGACCCCATGGGAGGGGTCCATTTGTAAATCACCCCTAGACCAGTTAAACAATTAATTGGCCGGATATCACCAGACGTGCAACGTAATACTCTGTTGAAATTTGCGACAATTTGCGCAGTTCTGAATTCCAAACGCAGACCCGCCTGTTGCCACTAACTTCCCCTCCTGACAGCAAAGCACTCACCTGTAACCACCGTATCTTCGCCTCCTGACGGCGACGCAGACACAAATGATGAGAGCAGCAGCCAGGAGAAGGGCGCTGACCATCCCCGCCACCACATGAGCATCCAGCCAGCTTCCCGCCGCTGCAGGCCTCTTCATCACCACCTCCTGCACGGGCTCCGCCGAGATGGATCCTGCAGTGTCAAGAGCAGGTTGAGGACTGCTTGCGTCTTATCTGGCTCGTGCTTATAGTGGCCTATATTTTGTAAATAATTTTGTAGACATGCCCAACCACTTGGACTGGACGGTAGAACGGCGGTATTGCTTCGTGCAGGTCGGCGTTCAATCCCCGACCGTCCAAGTGGATGGGCACCATTCCTTCCCCCTCCATCCCCCCCGAAATCCTTATCCTGGCGCCTTCCCAGTGCTATATAGTCGTAATGGCTTGGCACTTTCTCCTGATAGTTCCCTTCCCTTCCCTATTGTTACGACCCTGGGTTCTCCAGTGGAAACCAGAGGTCAAAATTGAGCTATTAAACTTTCTGGTAGTACAGTTAGGTGCATCACTAGCGGCAATTGTTTGTATCTTCCCTGCCAGACGTAAGACTATTGTTGTTTCTCAAAGAGCATTTAAAGACTGAGCTGGGGGTTGATTATTAAATAATAACATAGGCACCAACTTTGCTTACTAATACTTTCTAATCATTTGTAAAGTAACAATACATTGCATAGGGGAAGATCTTTAATGTGCTTAGCTGCACGATCAATTAGGCTCCTTCCGGCACCACGACATGAGGGAGGCCAGCTGGTCGCTAGGAGCTCTCTCTTCTCTGGCTGGTGTTCGTGCGGACAAGACCTACTCTGTGGCTGCACCCCTACTCTCCCTTCTCCTCTTACTTATTTCCCTTACCCTAAGTTCCTGTACCCTTAAGTTAAGTATTATATGGTGTTAAGTGTGCCTACTCTGGTAGTAACGATTGGTGAGACCTGGGGGTAGTATTTGCCAGTGTTTTGGGTACCCCTAAGTGTTGTGTTTTGTATTAGGGTCCCACGTGGTTTCCCTACCCTAAGCTGCACCCAGCTTCAGTGCTTATCCAGTAGTACTTTACCCTAGCTTGTTATTAGTGTAAACCTTGTATCCTGCCTAAGTGGACCAAGGCTTTTAACGTAAGATAGTGTGGTAAAGTTATTATTATTATTGTTATTGGTGTGAGTGTATATGGGGGGTTGTTAAGGGGTTAATAAATAAGTACATGAATTACAGAGTATCCCCTCTTCCAGTGTGGGAGCGCATTGATCAACCCTTAGACTAACATATATGGTCTAGTAGCAAGTTATTACTACTGTGGATAGTTTATTTTGGGGGCCGGGCCTTTTAGCTCTCCCATATTTGATACTCTGTCTTCTAACTACCCTTACCCCTTAATAGTACCAGTTTCCCCATAGAAGCATAGCCCACACACATATATTTATAACACCTATCAATCAACGATACAAGATTTTTAGACAAAATTACACACACTTTCCGGTTTATTTTGGCTTAAAGTTAAACGAATGCAACTTACTACCAGCAGATTTGTATAGTACATCAGCCTGAAGCTTACCATTAGTGAATATCAAATCTCAATCTGGGCGAAAATGTTACTCTCATTCAAATCATATTTATTTACTCGAGTGTTATGTCCATTACACTCATATGTCCATTGTCTTGCCAAGCAATGAAGAACATCTACTTACTCAACATACCAATAACAGTATTCGCTCTTATATGAAGATATAAGAAAATGAAGAGGCAAGAAAATATCTTAGTCTTATGCCTTATATAACCCATTAGCAGTGACCAGTGGTGTGGCCGTGTTACCACCAGGTTATCTTGAGATGATTTCGGGGCTTTTTAGTGTCCCCGCGGCCCGGTCCTCGACCAGGCCTCCACCCCCAGGAAGCAGCCCGTGACAGCTGACTAACACCCAGGTACCTATTTTACTGCTAGGTAACAGGGGCATAGGGTGAAAAAAAACTGCCCATTGTTTCTCGCCGACGCCTGGGATCGAACCCAGGACCACAGGATCACAAGTCCAGCGTGCTGTCCGCTAGGTCGGCCCAAATATAGATCCCCCAAACCACAGGGGGTCCAAATATAGCCTAAGGGAAACAAAGATAGGTGAAAGGGTTGGCAGTCTTCATACGAGAGCGAATACTATTATTGGTGTTTAAATAAGTCGATTTTCTTCAAGTTCAAGTATGTTTATTGAGACAAGAAAAAAATACATCTCGGAGGGATAGAGTAGCTTAAGCTATTTCTACCCCCCTCCCCCCGATTTCCTTTATTACAGACGTAACAGCCAAACAACTAAACATGCACAGGAACTATTTAGAAGTGGATACATAATAACCAGAGTCTTTACCTTAGTTACTTTAGTTATGAATCATTATTAATGAAAAATTGTGCAAAGTTCAGTGCAAATTTGCTACGTCATTATCATACATAACTATATTTTTTTTAAATTAAATGTTTCATATTTTGATTAGAAATTTAAGGAATATTTTTAAATCTTAGAAATTCAATAACTATTTTCTTACTTAACATTCAATATTTACCCGCTATAAAATTAAAATAGTTTTGATGGATTATATATATATTATATATATATATATATCATAATTTACTGACCTCCACTGTGGTTCCTGGTGGCCACACTATACTGACCACTGTGGTCCATGGTGGCCACACTATACTGACCTCCACTGTGGTCCATGGTGGCCACACTATACTGACCACTGTGGTCCATGGTGGCCACACTATACTGACCTCCACTGTGGTCCATGGTGGCCACACGGTACACGATACATGTGTCTCCTGCAGTAGAGGCTGCCGTGACTCGCAGCAGGTGCCAGGTGGCCGAGGTCAGGTCACACAAGCCCAGGTCAGTGGTGTCCCTGGTCACGTGGGCGTACAAGGGCGCCCAGGACTCCTCCTCCGCCTCCCTGCCCAGCTCCACCTGTCACGTCAAATATTTATATCAGCTTTCGAAATATATTTCTGGAACAGGATGGGTCCACAAGTCAAGAGAGACTCATAAGAATTGTTATAAAAATCACACACTGAAGGAAAAATATCTTTGGAAAGCTAAAATAAAACTACAAAGTTTGGAGGACAATATAGATCCAGGACAGCACAGTGACACTAAACTGTCATCAAAGGAGCACATGAAAGGTTTTGTGAGAGGAATCTTTGCTACGCAGCAGATTTATAAATCCATTTTATATTCACTGTTTGGGGAAATTGTTTTCATTTGTAGACAAAAATGATAATATGCAGCAGTTATAGGTTCCTATACATGCACATGCGCGCGCGCGCGCGCGCACACACACACACACACGCAACAGAACTTCGAATGAATGCATAAATATAAGAAGAGTATCAAAGAAAGTACGAGAATGATATTGCTTTTAAAGCAAAGAAACAGCTAAAACTACTGCATAGTCACATAAGGAGGAAAAGGACAGTGAACGAGACACAGAAGCCAACAGTAAATGGGAAGGTTTTACATAGAAAGTGACAAGGAAATTTGCAAGGTACTGAAATCTATTTTGCACGGTGTGTTTACAGCAGAGCCTGAGCAGCTCCCAATGTTAAAAGAGGAGATAATCCTGGATGGAAGACTGTTGAATATTGAGGTGACAACAGAGGAAGTAAAAAGAACTACCATCATCATCTGACAAAACTAAAGGTGTTGGACTAGATAATGTATCACCGTGGATGATAAGAGCAACAGTACATGTCCTCAGCGTACTTCTAACAATGGCCTTTACCCGAGTCGCTTACAAAGGAAGAACTGTCCAGCTGCTGGAAGAACGAAAATACTGTACCAATTTTCAAGAAAAGATAGAAAAGAGGCAGTTAACTCCGGACCAATGTCCCTAAAAGTACTGGAAAGAATGATTAGGATAAGACTGGTAACACACCTAAAGATAATTAGGTATGTAAACAAACAGCAAGGCTTTGGGGAAAGGAAATCATACCTAACGAGCTTACTGGAGTTCTATGATTAAGTAATGAATATAAGGCAATACAGCGAAGCTTGGGCAGATTGCGTATTTCTGGACTACCAAAAAGCCTTTGATACAGTATCTCACAAAAGATTACTACACAAACATGAAAGGCCGGCAGAGGCAGAAAAGCAGTGACATGGGTAAGGAATGACCTAACAGACAGAAGTTAGAGAGTAACAGTAAGGGGACAAGAAATTGAACTGTCCTAGAGAGGCAAGTAGAGTACCTCAAGGATCTGTAATGAGACCAGTACTTTTTTTCATCTTCGTAAATGTTGTTAACTCAAAAAACTCAACCTACAGTTGAGTCTTACGTCGATTTTTGCAGATGTAAAATTCATTAGATAAGTTGTGACAGATGAGGAATAATATTCTCAAAGAGGATTTAAACAAGCTGCAGAGCTGGTCCAAGACATGGCTACTGGAGTTCAACACGAGCAAGTGTAAGGTGATGGAAATGGGAACAGGTAACAGACCTTAAGGACAGTACACAATGAATGAAGGGAAACTACATATCTCTCATGACTAGAGACGACGACCTGGGCGTGGACATAACACCAAACCTAACTCTGGAAGCTTGTCTAAACAGGATAATGTCAGAAGCATACTCTTTACTAGCAAAAGTTAGAACGTCATTTAGAAACCTAAATAAATAGGAATTTAGATCGCTGTACATTGCCTGCATGAAACAATATTTAAAGCATGCTGCCACATGCTTAAAAAACATAAGGAAACTCTAAAGGGTTCAAAAGCGTCTGATGAAGCTCGTCCCAAAACGGCATAGGATGGGATATGAAGACTGAAAGAATTAAACCTGATGAGGCTGGAAAAGAGGGGAGAGTGTAACATGATAAGAGATGAACAAAATACTTAGGTGATAATGACAGCGGGAAAAAAAGGAAATGTTCACAACTGAACAAAAGTTCATGTGTCGTGATCGCTGAACCCAGGCTCATTGTGAACATAACAATTACGCAACTATAGCCATTCAGTATGATTCCAGTCAGGCGCAGACAGTCTCAGTGAGAGGGTGTGTTAGCTGAGCTCCGAATGTAGAAATATTATCATTGCAATAATGGAAGGTGTGGTGATGGAACTGATGAACCTAGTTGGAGCTCAGAGCAGAGATGGAGTCCCTACGGGAGGAGGAACGACAGCTGAAACAACATCGAGAAAAAACGAAGGTGGAGACCAGTATTAAAGAGATCTCGTCGTGGAAAGTCGTAAAGGACCGGGGTCTTAAGAAGACCCCTTATATGATCTCAGGCCAGACGTACCTTCCAGTGTGTGACGGGGCAGCCTAATTCAGGCCAGACGTACCTTCCAGTGTGTCAGGGAGCAGCCTAATTCAGGCCAGACGTACCTTCCAGTGTGTGACGGGGCAGCCTAACTCAGGCCAGACGTACCTTCCAGTGTGTGACGGGGCAGCCTAACCCAGGCCAGACGTACCTTCCAGTGTGTGACGGGGCAGCCTAACTCAGGCCAGACGTACCTTCCAGTGTGTGACGGGGCAGCCTAACCCAGGCCAGACGTACCTTCCAGTGTGTGACGGGGCAGCCTAACTCAGGCCAGATGTACAGGCGCAGTGTCACACACGTTTCATTCACCTCCACCAGTTTTGCCGGGTCTGGTCGACCAGGAGCTGCCCCCACAAAACAATGTCAAAATTCAACATGAAAACAAAACTACTTATGACAATTATATTTACTCGGCAAAGTGTATAAAACTCCGTATTTTATCATTAGCTACTGGCAAAATAACCGATGCCAGTTGATCAAAATCCTGTTATGTCATTTCTGAGGTAAATGTTTAGGTAAAGCTAGCCGAAATTTGTTATTTGTTTACATATAAGAAGGTACTATAGGTACTATGGGTTATGTTACTACAGTTTCTGATGATTAATGTGGTACGTACTGGCAAAGCCACAAACACAGCTGTTGTGGGAAATGTGTACTGGAGTTGGTGAGTGTCTTTATACAGTAATAGTGCCATGCTGGCCAGTAGGGGGAGATGCGAGTTACAGACAAGATGCAAAACTGAGGTGAGAGGACTGTACGCAAAGGCTGGAAGGACTAGTGCTGGAAGGAAAATGACTGCAGGTCGCGATTATGTTGTAAAAGAAAAATTAAATGTACCCTCATGCCCCCACTTAAGAAGCTCAAAAGCATCTAGCCGCTCTCAGCTGAGGAAAAATTCTGAACCAGACAACCAATGCTGATCTGTTTCATTTCTAGAATAAAAGGAACGAATAAAAAGGAGAGGAACGTTTAGTGCTATGAGAAAATCATTGGAGTAGGATGGTGGGATCAGACCAGCCTTCTGGGTTACCCTTGACACGCCCTACAATTAGATCATGTTATGATCAAAGTTACACAACCACAAGTCCTCCCGGACCCACTAGGGCTCTGCAGGCACCTAGCTGGTAGACAGTCTTAAGTCTTGTAAGTGCCCCTCATCCACTCTGGTGAAGGCAAGTGTTTTACGCCAAACGCACGCCTTGGATTGGCCTCCAGCTTAATGCCTTAACATTAGTGGTGGATCTAGGCAGACGTCAGGTTGTGTAACCTTTAGCATATCATGGTCCATTGGCAAAGCACGCGTCCGAGGCGACTCAGGAAGCAGGTTTAATTCCACCATTTTCTACAGCTTCGACACAGAACAGACAGCAGACTAGGACCGCATCCAGCTACAACGCTCTCCCACAGAGTTCCGCGACTCTGGCCTCACTCAGAGCTCTGCTCTGCTGTTACTGTTACGTTTTATATTCATATCCACAAGGGCCGTGACGAGGATTCGAACCTGCGTCCGAGAGCATTCCAGACACTGCCTTAATCGAATGAGCTACGACATGGATCCTCGCCACTGTTTATTATGGTTGTCTTGGTCTGGTCTCTACTATGTGCATAATTTCTCAGAATTTATTTAATGGCAGCGTCGTCGGGGACAGGAAGTCAGCGGCTCACCAACGGTACCCCCCTTTTCCCAAGTATTTTCAGTTGGACTGTAAACAAATTAAATTTATTCGAGTACTCCAAGTATGTCAGAGTCCAGGTGTGTACATCAGAGACCAGGTGTATACATCAGAGACCAGGTGTATACATCAGAGACCAGGTGTATACATCAGAGACCAGGTGTGTACATCAGAGACCAGGTGTGTACATCAGAGACCAGGTGTGTACATCAGAGACCAGGTGTGTACATCAGAGACCAGGTGTGTACATCAGAGACCAGGTGTGTACATCAGAGACCAGGTGTGTACATCAGAGACCAGGTGTGTACATCAGAGACCAGGTGTGTACATCAGAGACCAGGTGTGTACATCAGAGACCAGGTGTGTACATCAGAGACCAGGTGTGTACATCAGAGACCAGGTGTGTACATCAGAGACCAGGTGTGTACATCAGAGACCAGGTGTGTACATCAGAGACCAGGTGTGTACTGTGTGTTTAATAATAAAGTTATGACGCAAACATCATGCTTCTTATATATACTGTTGTCAATGTTTACCCGTGCAATGTTTATGACCCATGGTCGTACTGTGTACTGTGCATGCCGCTTCTGGTGTACATGCAGGCTGTGAAGTAGCAGGTTGTTCAGGACCGGGAGAGTATACTCACCGCTGCCGAGGGTGTTGGTGACGAGGACGGCGCTGGGCGTGCTGGTGCCGTGGGAGTTCCAGGCGGTGAGGTAGAGGTGGTGAGGGGCGCCACACGGGAGGCCCCTCACAGTGAGGCTCCCCACCCCGGGGTCCGCGGTCGTCTCCACCCACTCACCCGCTGGCTGACGGTGGTGGACGGTGTACCCTGCACCACGCCCCGCCACATCACCACGTACCGTTAAGAATTACTATATTAGTTAATAACACACGCACAATATTATATATATATATACCTAACCTCGCCAGAGCCGTTTCCCACCGCCGGTTACGGTGCTACTAGGAAGGCCATGAGGATACACTACTCTTAAGAGCACGCAATTTGTTACCAGTAATACAAGACCAACGACCCGGCCAACGGGCAAAGACTGAGGAATTAATAACTAGGTAGAAGTAGGATATTGGACAAGTGCGGATAACTTCCTTAGCGGCAGCGTCCGTACGCTCATGTAAGTGCATACCAAAATGACTGGGAACCTTACGGGCTCACCATAGCCCGTGCTACATGGACATTTCGTTCTGAGTAGCTAAATCTAAAAACAACAACTGGGAACCCAGCAAAACTCGACTGTCTAAAATCTCCTCGAGATAAGAAACACCCAATGTTGAATTTCTACTACCACAGGATGGACATGATTATAGGGCTCCAAAGCCATGATGACTCTGCGAGAGTCAACTACAACAGCAAAGGAAGATTTAGATTTTTTAAATTTGAGACAGCGAGAAAGCAGTTGACGAACATACAAAATTGGATAAAGCTCTGCCGTGAAGAGCTTGATCTAGTCTCAACCTTATCTAGTCTCCGGCTATCAAACAATTGGATGATCGCCGTTATATTGGAGTCTAAATTACTGGGACCAGCTCTCTAAGAACATAACCTCAAGTGTTCGCAGCCTCCTTCGGTCACCGGCATCAGGACCAATGAGGCTGTCTAACACACTAACAATGACTGACTTTCTCCCCCTTCTCCTACCCTCAAATTCAATTCACAGCATTTTCTTCTACCATCAACCATGCCCAAACGTCCTCGGTATGTGGGTTATTGACTCGGTATGTGGCCCTCCCCATCTCTCCATTATCACTTTGCTTTCTAGTCTATTTTAACACTAAGAAGGTTCTTGCGGTGTTTTACAGTACAACTAGAGCCCTTGTGCAGTGTTTTACAAGGCAGCTATGTACTACAATTATTAAACAATCATCAATGTAAACAGATTCTTCATTCTTTTAAAACCAAAATATTTAATGAAAGCATTGTTTACGATATCAGCAAACACTGATGACATACTGACCCAAGATGGGCGCGCCTCCGTCATCTGCTGGCGTGATAGTGAGGTTGAGGGCGTGATGGGTGGCATGGGCGAGCGTGAGCGTGGGCGGGAGTGGGGCGGTGACTGCCACAACCAAATGGGTCAAGCTGTCCACACCCACACTGTTGCTGACCCAGCACGTGTAGTTGGCCGTCTCCCGTACAGCTGCCGGTCATAACAACACCTTATTACTGTATTATATTGTCTCTCGTACACCTGTTGCTCATAACACCTCATTACTATATTACAAGAGAGGGTGCCTTGTGGGGGTGGGGGGTGACCGGGTGTCTGTCTCCATCCCATTCCTTTCTATCTATCTCTCTTATTTCCTTTCTTTTTTCCCACTCTCCCTCCCTTCTATTTTCCCTAAATCTCCCCTGGTCACTTTTCTGTTAATCCTCCCATTTTCTCTAACCCGTGGGTGAAACATGCTCCAACATTGACTCAACATTACAGACGTTGAATCAACGTCGATGCAACATGAAGCGCTGTTGATTCAACGTTGATAACATGCTAGAAATGAATCAGAAAACACTATGGACAGTCTAACTCTCATGTCAGACGTCAGAGGACTTGTTGGTTCTACTTAAAGATATGCATGGGGGGTGGGGGGTGGAGGTTAAAAGTCACTGACCCCTAACCTCACACAAGTAGACACACTAATACAGATTTTTATAAGCAGCCGAACTAAACACAAAAAATATATGAATAAACACACGAACACCAAACTCATTCACACACACGTGTGTGTGTGTGTGTGTGTGTGTGTGTGTGTGTGTGTGTGTGTGTGTGTGTGTGTGTGTGTGTGTGTGTGTGTGTGTGTGTGTGTGTGTGTGTGTGTGAGATCTTAGAGGCATTAAATATGCCAAAATTAGAAGATAGAAGAAAAAGAGGTGATATGATCAAAATAGAAACGGGAATCGATAAAGTTGATTTGCAAGAATTCCTGAGACCTGGAGCTTCAAGAACAAGAGGTCATAGATTTAAACTAACTGAACAAAGCTGCCAAATAATAAGACAATTCGCTTTCGGAAACAGTGATATAAAGGTGGAACAAGTTAGGTGAGAAGGTGGTGGAGGCCAAAACCGTCAGTAGTTTCAAAGAGTTATATGATAATGCTGGGAAGACGGGACACCACGAGCATAGCTCTCATCCTGTAACTACACTTAGGTAATTACACCCCCCCCCCCACACACACACAGGGACCGACAAGAATGAGAGGAGAGGATGAACCAGCAATGCTTGATCTGATATTTACCCTAAATGAGTCGGATATAAGGGAAGTCAAGTTGGAAGTACCCTTGGGAACGAGTGATCACAGTGTATTGATCTTTGAGTACCTGGTAGAGCTAGGAATTATCTCCGCCCCCAAAAAAGAACTAGAAAACAAGGGGCTGACGTACCGAAAGGGACATTATGAGATGAGAAAATTCCTAAGGAATATACAATGGGACACAGAACTCAGAACTAAGTCCGTACACGACATGATGGACTGTCGGCCAAAAGTGTCAGGAGGCAGTAAACAGGTTTACCCCGGCCCGACAAGAAAAAACCAAGAAGCAAAAGAAAAATCCGTGGATTAATAGGGCATGTATGAAAGCAAAGAAATTGAAGAAAGGCGTGGAGGAACACTAACAAAGGGACACTCAGGTGGAAACTTGATTCCCAAATGAGCCAAAGAGACATTAGAAAGGATTTTTTCGATGTCGGTAGTTAACAAATGGAATAAACTGAGGGAGTGATGTGGTGGAGGAAGACTTCATGCAAAGTTTACAATGTAGATGTGATAAGAGTCCAATAGGCTCGGAATCCTGCATTCCAGTTGATTGAAGGCTGAGAGGTGGGACCAAGAGGCCGGACCCCTGCAAGCACAACTGGGCGAGTATTCACTCACTCGCTGACACACACGCTGTGTGTATGTGAGCATGTGTGTGTGTATGTGTATGTGTGTATGTACGTGTTCATATATCTGTGGAGAAAGGGAGGAGCACGTTACTGCCACAAAATATAATTATCAATATGTAGCTAATAACTACAAAAACAACACTTTAACATGGACAATAATGTTTAAAATTTATAATTTCTTTTAAAAAAAAATGTTTATTTCCAAGACATAACCTTTTCCTGTGTGTTGGCTTCCGCCGTCCTGCTCCGAGGATCGTTTTATTACACAGTGAATGTTGTAGTGTTAAACGTATCTGCACAGTACTATTATATGACGCCACTAACACTGTCTGTGGGCAGGTGTGTGTGCAGGTGTTTCCCAGCTCATACATAAATAAGACATCCAGGTGAAACCTACCTTCATGATGACACACTTGGAGCAGTGTTTAATACCACTGACCTGTGAGGTGCAGGTCTCCCCCTGGCAGCAGCTGTGTCAGCGGCTCGCTGCTGACGCTGCTGCTGCTTCCTTTGGTCCAGGAGATGTTGGGTGGTGGTGACCCAAGGCCCCGGCAACCCAGAGTCACCCCAGACCCCGCACCCACCCGCCACGCCCGCCCACCACCCACAGCGATGGGCGGGTGTGAAGATGTGGGGATGGGCAGGGCGGTGAGCCGCGGCGACTGGCTGCCCTCTCCTGCCACCGTGGCAGCTGTCACCCATACCTGACAAATGTGGTAGTGAATATGTGGGCCTGCAAGCAACTTCACGCAACAGTCTTACCGATCAGCCCCCCGGCCAGGCTCACGGAGTACAACTCTTAAAACCAATTACAAGTAATGAAATGAAATGATTACGTATGTACATTGTAGTACATTGTAGATGAAACTTCACAGTAACGTTACTGAAAATGTTGACCAAGTCACACACTAGAAATTGAAGAGACGACGACGTTTCGGTCCGTCCTGGACTATTATCAAGTAAATTGTGATGAGACGAGGGAGGCGCGGGCATTAAGTAGGCAAGAGAAAGGTGAATAGATGGAAATCTTAGAGGAAGATAAGAGCAAGGCATAAGGTACGGAAGGTAAGGTGAAATAAAGGAGGTAATAATAGAAATAAGAAAGGGATCGTAAGAGAAAACAAGAGAAAGAAAAAGATAAACGGAAGGGAAGGCTTATGTTAGGTCATGTTTGTTAGAACGTTTAGAACATTTGAGTATGTACTGTGAAAGGGAAGAGTCAATAGCAACAAAGCCAGGACTCAGGTTCATGTTGGGTAGGTTGTGTATCAGAGCCTCTACTCTTCACAGATTCGTCTGCGAAGAGTAGAGGCAGGAAATATTATTTTAGAGGAAGATCAATCAATAGGATGATTAGGGTCCCTAACATGACAGAAGAGAATAGTTTGTATCTGCAGACTTAACACTTCGTTTGTGTTCATCAAGTCCGTCATTTAGTGTACGGCCAGTTTCACCAAAGTATTGGAGAGGATAAGACGAACAGGAAATAGAGTAGACACCAGCAGAATTAGAAGCAGGAGGAGCAGTGTGAACCAGATTACTACGAAGGGAGTTAGTTTGTCGAAAGGTGAGCTTTATGTCAAGAGGACGAAAGGTATTAGTAAGAGTTTTGAGTTCAGATATGAAGGGAAGGCAGAGCACAGTGATAATAGTGTTGGAAGCAGGTTTAGGATGAAAGAAATTACGTTTAGCTTGAGAATAGGCACAGTTGATAAAATGTAAAGGGTAACCTTTATATTTAACCTAAAGAGAGAAAGATTTGTAGATAAAAAATTTCAGAATGCAGAAACTGGGGGTCGCTGATGCGTAGAGCGCTGTGGAAGAGACGAGGACACTTTTTTAACAGAAGGAGGACGGTAGGAAAAGAAATTAATGAACATGCCACTATGCATGGGTTTGCGGAAGACAGAGAAAGAGAACCCGGACACAGCTGTGAACGTGAACGTCAAGAAAAGGAAGGAGGGAACCTTGGTCGACAAGGAGCCCATCCTCTAAACAAAGACCCAAAGTACATTCCATGCATCTGCCAAACCCCGTTTATGAATGAAAAACGGTTTATACACGACTCACAACTGATGACGTTCGAACACTTCCGGAACAAGTGCCTTACTGCCGAATTTTGTTCGAACCACAACGCTGTAAATGCTTCACCCACGTACTACAAATACAAATAATCGCCAACAGAACCTAAACACCTAACCTAACCTATACAGTGCCTAAATATGTACAATAAAATAATAAAAATAATATTAATTTATACTTGAGAAAATTCCTGTTTTGAATGAGCAGCATGTTAAAATTTATGAATGGTCTTTGGGGTCGACCGCTGGATGGAATGGACGTGGTCTGAGGACGGGTTGGGACAAGAGTCAGTTCACCCGAGGCAGTTCTGAACAAGACTTGTTCAAGTGGGCAGAGTCGGGGGAGACAATTGTCCAGTCTGTCCTCAGGTTTCCCAACGTCAGGAAAAAGGTCAAAATAAAGTGTCCTCTCCTAACCTTCTAGTGGACCCAAAACAGAAAACGGAACAGTACGTCACTTTCGCCAGCCACTTCCATTTTCTAGTACGACAATTTGTGGTCTTAAGTAACGCGTACGATCGAAATGCGAGTTCTTTGTAAGAGGAAAAGTTGAATTGTTTGTGATAACCAGTGAAGCATTGGTGACTGGACCGACGAATCTCGGGATGGCCCAGTAGAGTTACTAGACGGATTTATCATCCGTCTGTAATCTAAGTTAAGGCTTATTGTAGGTGAAGCCTTTAGGTGAAGCCTTTTGGGGAAGCCAGCCAATGTTTTGCTGGAGAACAGTCAGCGTGTTGCTGGAGAGTCGAAGTGGTGTTAAATTTTAAATTTTGCCCCGAGGGGCGAGTTTATTGGGCAGCGCCACTGATCTTGTGAGTGGACACACCGCCATAGCAGCATGTACAACACTCCCCAAAAGGAAGAAAACCCACTGGGTTGTTCATTCTGTCACTTGTACCCAGACACAGCTGGGACTTGCTTAACTGTCTTAAGTGAACAGCTCCTCAAGATTAACATCTGTCAACCCTTAAAAGCTTACGTTATCTTGCGGGAGCAAAATGGGGAAATCTTTTAAGAACAGCATCAATATTTGACAAAGAGTGTTTCCCTAATTCAAACAATGTGCGGTTTATTATTCTACACATACTTCTAATGTGTCTCAAGTGTTCACATTCACGTAGATAGTGGTTAAGGCGGTGTCCATCACTCATCACAGATTCTGCAGCTTCGCTGATCAACAGTTGTTTCCATTCCGTATCTCCATGGATATTTGTATCCAAGACGGATTCTCTTACTGATTCTCTCCCGCGTCCACCTCCTCTTCGTCCATAATGATTGGGGTTGCCAGCTGCAACCATGTTGTACCATCGCACAGATTCACTGGTTTGGTCTTCTATCCTCCTTTCCTCAGTTACCTTGTCACGGTGATGTTGCCTGACAATACCTCTAATTTGTAGTAGCAGAGTGGTGTTATGACATGTGGAGGACTGGGCCATGATTTACCGAGAAAGGTGGACTCACCGGCGTCCGTACCAAGCCAAGGAAAGGCTCAGGGAAGGTACCTGGAGTGTTGTACGATAGAAGTAGAAGTGGACTCGACGGGATAGAAGATAGCAGAAGTTCTTTTGTAGTATCCTGTAAGAAAGCTACACCTGCGGTGCTGTGTTGCACACGCGTCATAAGTGTACAGTATCTAGTCTTCCATTAAGGATAATTCTTTCATTCATCAACATACACCGTACATCTTGACATACACGGCTTAATTTACCCAAACGAGTCGATACGTGTATTTTGTATGAGATAAACTAATCTATGTATACCTGGAGGAATACTGTGGTCGAGGCCACGAGTGTATACCTGGAGCAAGAGTAAGATCAAGGCTACGAGTGAAAGGGAAGAGGAGTGAGAGGGAAGGAGAGGGATTGAGAGAGAGAGAGAGAGAGAGAGAGAGAGAGAGAGAGAGAGAGACCCGGGCACTGCAGGTGCCTGGACCTACTAGTTAATAAGTCTACTAGTATAATAAGATATATCTTATCTCACAATTTTGTATATATCAGTAACAGTATATAGTATACTGTATAAAATTAGGTCAGGAACAGTAGTACAAGAAGATATATCAACAATATCAACAAGACATATCATGCAACAAAAAAGTATAACATGACATACAATTAACACATTATAGCAAGCCATATATACCAGAAACACAGTATAACCAGACATACCAGCAGCAGTATAACCAGACATACCAGCAGGGGTATAACCAGACATACCAGCAGGGGTATAACCAGACATACCAGCAGGGGTATAACCAGACATACCAGCAGCAGCAGTATAACCAGACATACCAGCAGCAGTATAACCAGACATACCAGCAACAGTATAACCAGACATACCAGCAACAGTATAACCAGACATACCAGCAACAGTATAACCAGACATACCAGCAACAGTATAACCAGACATACCAGCAGCAGTATAACCAGACATACCAGCAGCAGTATAACCAGACATACCAGCAGGGGTATAACCAGACATACCAGCAGGGGTATAACCAGACATACCAGCAGGGGTATAACCAGACATACCAGCAGGGGTATAACCAGACATACCAGCAGGGGTATAACCAGACATACCAGCAGCAGCAGTATAACCAGACATACCAGCAGGGGTATAAGAGAGAGGAAGAAGGGGGGACTCACCTGTACTCTGGAGCCAGGAGTCAGGCCGTTCACCTCCCTCCAGGTGGCCTCCGACCCTCCAACTCCCACCACGTCTCTCACCGCCACCTGCAACACCACCTGGGTCACCTCACTGCTCTCCTCACACCACCTGGGTCACCTCACTGCTCTCCTTACACCACCTGGGTCACCTCACTGCTCTCCTCACACCACCTGGGTCACCTCACTGCTTTCCCGACACCACCTAGGTCACCTCACACCACCTGGGTCACCTCACACCACCTGGGTCACCTCACACCACCTGGGCTTTCCTCAACATCTGAGCCACCTTAGTACTCTCTTAACACCTCTCACTACTCTTCCCTAAGCCAAGCAAACTTTATACCGTAAAGTTGCCATCTGTGAGAGAAGAGGACCCAAGAGACAACAGCTTTCTGGGTCTTTTTTGTTCACGGGGCTGACTGTCCTCTTGTGCCAGTGTTCGGCACTAGACCTCCGGGGCTGACTGTCCTCTTGTGCCAGTGTTCGGCACTAGACCTCCGGGGCGGACTGTCCTCTTGTGCCAGTGTTCGGCACTAGACCTCCGGGGCGGACTGTCCTCTTGTGCCAGTGCTTGGCACTAGGCCTACGGGGCGGACTGTCCTCTTGTGACAGTGCTTGGTCTTAGACCTATATGATAATATATTCATCCAATCACAATACTCAGGTCACGTGTCCACACCCACCTGGTCGTCCCTGGCAGAGTAGAGGGTGTAGTGGAGGATGGTGCCGGTGTAAGGCTGTGGTGGCACCCAGGTCACCAGCAGGCTGCTGCCTCCCGTCACCACCACCCGCACTCGTCTGGGAGGGCCTGGCACTGACGACATCCAGGGTAAGGCAGTCAGTAATATGAAAGTGTTATGCTATTAAACGGTAAACTTAGCAGTGTTCTGACCAACCAGCGAGTATACTTGAGTAATTAACAAATTAAGGGTACAGAGAACACTCAGTGAATATACAATAAGAGGTACACCACTCTGAAAATGTTGGTGTACCTTACAATGGACTTGCAATAAATTCAATAAATCTTCCTATTATACATCTACACAGTAGTCAATAATTATTAATGAAAATATATAATCAGTAATAAATGCATTAATAATAATAAAATAATCATAATATTACCATCGTCTTCTGTGAGACAGAAAATGGGATGACTGGAAGAACTGTAGCCGACCTCGTTGAAGGCCTTGACCCGGACGCTGATGTTGGTGGCTGGGGGCAAGCCGTCCAGGTTCTTCTCCAGGTTGGTGGTGTTCACCTCCCACCTGCTACCTGCACCACAAACCCATCACCTTCACACTATATAACAACCATAACAAGTGAAAATAACTTCGGTATAATTTTGGTGGAAAACTGAGCCAAGCGTGAAGTGCATGGTACTTGTAGCACTTTTAGGACTTAAAATAATACAATAAACATGAAATAAATGAGTTTAAGTAATAGTCAAAACAAGGTACCAAGCTGGGATGACTATGTAGAACAGCCCTTGTCGCTAAATATACAAATCCACTAAATATCATTCAAGATGCCAATAAGACGACGGAAAAGCTCAATACGAGCTATAGCAAGGGAATCAGATTCACCAAGGAGTCTATTAAATGACAGCAAACTCCCAGGCACATTAGGAAAGCAACAAATACGATCATCTCAAAAACTTGTGGAATTCTATACTAGGAGGAGGAGGAGCATGACTAAGTGGGACAATGCAGTTTAGAAAAAAGGGAACAGGACTGTTGCGGCCTCACTTAGCCAGTAACTGGGTTCTTTATTTCAAACACTGAATTGGGCCTTAGTGTCTCTTCTTAGTTGATCCTACCCCGAGTCATTGGTAAGTTATCAAGAACTGGCTGTAATAATTAATGGTTGAAGAGGGGGTAAACAATACTAAAAAGAACCTTCACCAAGTACTTAAATATATCTATATTCATATATATATATACATATCACACTGCGAGTGTCACTTTTGCACAGGACACTAATACAATAAATTCCGCAATCTTCTTTTCCCGGCGAGTCCACTTTATCTTCTATTATGCAACATTCAAGTTCTATGGTCCTCACACCGGTGAGTTCACTCTACTCAATACAACATGGGCTAGTCCTACCCTACCACTTCTCCCCAGCAACACACTAGCAGAAGTCTCCAGCAACACACTGACAAGGGGTCACCAATAATAGGACAGGGGTCTCTAACACCACCCTGGCAGAAGTCTCCAGCAACACACTAACAAGGGGTCACCAATAATAGGACAGGGGTCTCTAACACCACCCTGGCAGAAGTCTCCAGCAAAATGCTAGCAGAACTCCACACAGGCTTACAACAAACCTTAACAGATGACAGTAACACAAGGATAACATATGGATATATTAAAATCTATGTACTACACAGGGATAAAATATGATGACAGCCATTCATCGGGGAACAGAAAATGTGGTCAAATGCACTGAAAAGATGGTGTTGACATCGTCACCTCCCTCAACAGAGGGCATTGTCATCGACCCACCTCCTAAATGAATTGTGGTCGGGAGCACTCAACAGATGGTGTTATGGTATCGACACCGTTGCTGAAGTGTGAAGTGGCGATTTCGGCGCCATCTATGGATCTGCACAGCTCCCAGGTTTTAGGCGAGACGCTGACAACGCCCTCTGTTGTTGGTGGTGGCATGGCATCGGTGAAAAGCTCCTTTTTCTTGACTCTGTTAGAAGGTGAGATCGATGAGGATGACCTCTGGTGGGTGGCGTATCGAGATCAATGCCATTTAGGTTGCGACCACAATTACAATCTCAGTTCCCCAGTGGATGGGTGTTATCCTAAGGTCACCCAGTATACTGTCTGTCTAGCTAATGACGTTTTATATTCACAGAGGTGACGTAAGGAGGCGATTGTGCTGAGGGGGGGGGGAGCAGTTCACCTTGGACAGTCCAGAACTCTTGATTAGGTCCTGCGTGAGGACAAAGTGGCTGCTGCCGGTTATAGCAGTGTTTAAGCTGCTGGATTTATGCAGTGTTGTATGGACCGACGTACCCGGGAATGGCCAGGAAGAGTTACGAGACGACAGTGGTGCGTTTATGGTGAAGTGCTGCTAGTGAGCGACTGGAGACTTCTGCCAGGGTGCTAGCTACCCCCTGTATGTGATTATTTGAGACCCCTGTTAGTGTGTTGCTGAAACCCTCTACCAGTGTGTACCTGGAGAGAGGAGGTGCGGTATTGGCACAACATGACTATAAGGGGTGTGTGGACTGGCCCATGTTGATGGAGGACTCGCCGGTGTTTGCCATTAAATGTGGACGACGTGTACGTATGAAATGGTTGTGGACCTGAGAAGGGGGAGGAGGGTTGGGTAGAGGAGCATGACGTCATGCACGAGCACAAGTTACAGGAGAAAGAGAAAAGATGCCGGACCTGTCATCTTGCTTCGGCGAAAGATATGCAATCTTGCTATCTAAAGTGGAAGATGGTCTGTTAAATCTTTTGCCACACTGGGTGGCAAAACACCACCTCACAACTATATTTCGAGGCGCCATTTCCAAATTTCCAACACCTATTGCAAAGTTGTGGAAGGAGACGTATTCCTGACTGGAGCATCTGGCACCAGCAAGTATTACCGAAGACGGGAGGATCCGACCATAGAAATTTACCTTGCCCAGCTTAAGAATGACTACCACCAGGGAGCTGACGGAACGTGTCAACTTGAAGGGCATGATAATCCTGGGCATCGAGCTTATACTTAATACCCTCATGGTAGTCCTTACATTCCTTGTTCCCCATCTCAAAATGGCCAGGAGTGTGCCAAAACTGACATTCAGTAATACATTCTTGAAGACTAGAACTGAGGCCTCACCAACATGAGATCGGTAAGCTAGGAAAGTGGTCGCCTCCTTAGAAAGGCTTCAATGACTGAAGTGCCATTCCGGGTGAGATTGAACTTAAGTTGGTCTTTTAATTTGCAACCAGAGTCTATAAGCTGTCTATGTGCAAAGCGTCAGGGTAGATACGGTCATCATAGTAGACATCAAAGTATTCAGGTCACGTAGTGGGATCAAACAGATCGTGGAATGTTGTAGTAAATGCGGGAAATGTTGAGCTCGATGGTGAGTACAACGCTTCAGACGACATAGAAAGAGGGAAAGGGAGGAGGTGGGGGGGGGGGGAGGTACTGTAGTAAACATCAAAGACAGACACCTCTGGTGTCGTGGTAGTCGCCACGGTGAACCTGGAGGTCGACCCTGTCCAAGGAAGAGGCTGGGGAGGGAGAAGACCTCCCTCGACAGGGGAGGGGGGGGGGAGGCTGGACCTCGACAGGGGGAGGCTGGACCTCGACAGGGGGGGGCTGGTACTCGACAGGGGAAGGGGGGGCTGGTGTCTGCCGCACATTGTGAGGAAATAGTCAAGTGACGCATGGACACTAAACATGCAAATTTGCTGCCGTAATGTGATTAATTTTTTTTACAGTTTAAGGAGCAGTAAGTCTAAGGAGCAGTAAGTCTAAGGGAACGAACTAGAAGGGAAAGGAGCCAACACTGTCAAACTATTGTTTTAGGAACACACGACATGACCAAATGGGATACTTGATTATTCGACTGATGTTGGAAAGGCGGGGCCCAGGAGCTGAAACTATGATTGCCGTCAATCTTTTCAAAAACTCGAGTAGAGACAATAGAGATACAAGTTTACCCTAGACACACACACAGATCAAGTTTAGCTTTAAACAAGGCTAGAAAGGCGGGATCCAAGAGCCAACGCTCGATCCTGCAGGCACAAATGTGAGTGAGTGAGTGAGTAGGTGAGTGAGTGAGTGAGTGAGTGAGTGAGTGAGTGAGTGAGTGAGTGAGTGAGTGAGTGAGTGTGAGTGTGTGCGTGTGAGTGTGTGCGTGTGAGTGTGTGTGTGAGTGTGTGTGTGTGAGTGTGTGCGTGTGTGTGCGTGTGTGTGCGTGTGTGTGTGTGTGTGTGTGTGTGTGTGTGTGTGTGTGTGTGTGTGTGTGTGTGTGTGTGTGTGTGTGTGTGTAAAGCAAGAAAAAAAAAAGTAGTTAGTAAACAGTTGATTGACAGTGTAGAGGCGGGCCGAAAGAGCAAAGCTCAACCCCCGCAAAACACAACTAGGTGAACACACACACACACACACACACGAGCCGGAGAGGCGTCAACACAACAACTTTACAAGTGTCAACAAACGGACTGGCCTTCCAGCAGAATTTAGAGGCAAATTAAAAGACCAACTTTAATTGAAATATGAACTGTGGCCGTGGCGGCCATGACACTTACTGCCGCTGGTGTGACGGTGGTCAGTGGGCGTGGCGATGATGGTGTAGCCTTGGACGGGGGCGTGGGCGCAGTGTGCAGGTGGGGGCGACCACCACACCCGCACCCCGCCCCGCCCTGACCCGCGACACGACACTCCTGCAGGCGGACACGACGGCGCTGCGGGAGGGCAACGTTGTATAACATGTGGCAAGGTGGGGTGGAGATGGAGGGGGAAGGGGGGGACATGAAAAAAAGAGAGGGGGTAAGAGGGGACATGAAAAAAGAGAGGGGGTAAGAGGGGACATGAAAAGAGAGAGGGGGTAAGGTGGGGACATGAAAAAAGAGAGGGGGTAAGGTGGGGACATGAAAAAAGAGAGGGGGTAAGGGGGGGACATGAAAAAAGAGAGGGGGGTAGAGAGGGGGTTAGGGGGTAGAGGCGGGGGGGGGGAGGCACGGGGGAGAGCCAAAGGGGGGAGGGGGTATTAGGCGTGGAGGGGAGAGGGGGGGGATGGAGGCAGGGGGAGGGAAGAGGTCGATGGGGGGGGGGGGGAGGGCGGAGGTTGAGGCAGGGCGAGAAGACGACGACGGGGGGGGGGGGGGGGGGGGAAGAGTGGTATTCCATTTAGGGTGAACATGTGGTGTCCTGTAACTATCCTTAACCCTTTCCCCCTATATATACACACAAGGCACCTATCCTCCCCCGCCACAACCACACACCTGCCTCTGTCTTCATGAGCCATGTAGACACCATGCCACAACCACACACCTGCCTCCGTCTTCATGAGCCATGTAGACACCATGCCACAACTCTCATGGTTCAGGAAAATCTGATTACTTTATCATAAAAATATAATAAGTCTGCTGTTGATTTATTGTGGGCTATTGGAGAGCATACTGACACCCACAGACTAAGGCATTTATATAACTGATTCAACGGTTATGATAATTAAATATATTTTACATATTTTTATCGTGGTCAAATAAGAGGTGATGAAATACTTGTATTTTTGATCAATTATTAATATACGGGAGAGATGTTCAATCTTTTACCGCGAATTCTTTCAGAACTTAATGGCGTCCACATTCTCCAGAAGGAAGCTATACCGCTACTGTGCTGTGCTTGCAGTCAACACAACGTGCATTAACACACGCGAGATGCTTGAAAAGAAAGCTTCATTTCCGTGTGAGTGTCGACGCTTGGCTGGTTCTGTTGCCTCGGGGACACCCTCTCCATGAGGGTCATCTCTACCAGCACCACAGCCTTCGCCAGGAGTCAGGCTTCCTTGCCCCTTCCTGCCCAGGAGTAGAGGAGCTGAGAGCAGCGGGCAGGAAGGACAGCCCATCTACACCACTAAAACCCTCAAGAACTGAGTGTGCCAGGCTCACCATCATGGCTAGTGGAGTCTACTATCCTGGGGGAGGATAGAGGTCCGGGTCCTGCTCGGTTGAAGGCCCTGACGGCGACCTCGTAGAGGGAAGCTGGCGTCAAACCCCGCACCTCGTACTGCTCCACCACCTCCGTGTCGCCTGAGCTCACGGAGACAACACATCGGCTAATTATTACTTAACCCTTTTCTCGATAAACAAGAGATTCATAATTTATTATTGTGCCAAAAGGTGAGATTTATATTCATAAATGCATTCAGCACCTGACAATTAAATAAAACCATACAAAATATGTTGGTAAATATAGTCTGAGATTGGCAGCATATATTGCCGTTGATGCTGTGATCCACAAGACTCAAAATAATCTTCAGACACTCAAGTCGTCTCACCTGAGGCTGTGGTGATGGGCCTGGTGATGTAGGTGAGGTGCCCCTGCAGGTTCTGGCGACGGAGGGCGATGGTGTAACCCCTGAGGGGGCCATGGGTGAGGTGAGGGGCAGGGGCTCGCCAGGTCACAACTAGGGAGTAGGCACCTCCTGCAGTCACATGCACATCCTGGGGTGCTCCTGATGGTGCTGTGGGAGGATATAGTTTGTATACATGTTTGATACAGGATTCAGTCGTGCTATACACTTGCCTGACACGTGACTCAGTAGTGCTATACAGAAGTAGTAGGAGAGACCGCTTAGCGACGAGTTTTGGTTTTTGGGAAAATTGGTCGCTAAGCGGTACACCATTTAAGACTGAACTTAAGGTTGGATCGAGTCCATTTTCAGAGGATATGTTAATTAAAGGTATGTTCTGTATTTGTGTCATATGTTAGTTCTTGGACCCGCCTCTTAACATTTATAGGTGTATTTTAGTTTAGATTCCCTTGCCAGGGACAGGAAGCCTGTTGTGCTTATCGAGGTCTTCCTAGGATCCTAGGTCAATGGATGCCTATCCTACAGGATTCAACCCACAACAGCAGAGTAACTCCAAGAAACCTATATAGTACTTGAAGAATAGAGGCAAACATATAAGGAAATGGACTATCGAGCCCAGTACCAATCGGTTGTGAGCCGAATGAATTAATTACAGGTAGGTACAGGAAGTTAAGCCTATAGCTGGAACGTTGCTGTAGTGCGGTCTTGACATCCAGGGTAATGTACACATTTCAGCTTTACATAATGTATTTTAAACAAATTTAAAACCTGTATTTAAATCCAGAAGTAGTAAGACAAAAGAACTGATACATAATGAACACATTTAAACTCAGAGGCCACTAACCTTCCTCTGTGGTAGTGGAGACGGGGACGAGGGAGGGCTAGGACACTAACCTTCCTCTGTGGTAGTGGAGACGGGGACGAGGGAGGGCTAGGACACTAACCTTCCTCTGTGGTAGTGGAGACGGGGACGAGGGAGGGCTAGGACACTAACCTTCCTCTGTGGTAGTGGAGACGGGGACGAGGGAGGGCTAGGACACTAACCTTCCTCGGTGGTGGTGAAGACGTGGACAAGGGATGGCTGGGACACCCCGAGGTCGTTGTGGGCCATGAGCCTGACAGCGTAGGTGTGGTAGGGCGTGAGGCCCGTCAGCAGGTGCCATGCTGCCCACTGGCCTACGCTTACGTTACGCCCATGGGACGCCCACGACTCCTCTTCGGCTGCTCTTGTCGGCGAGGGACGCCACCAGGACGAGGATGCAATGAAAACATTGGGCATTTTATAATGAGGCGATTCATAGAATTACTGTGGAAAGTGAGAAGCTGCGCTCTCACGCCTAAGGTCATTAGTTCTCACAGCACCAAAATACCAAAACACAAATAACGAGGCAAGATGTTGCAGTCTTTGCAACCGTGTCCCGTGTCGTGTTTAGGGCAGCTAAAACCCGTACCAGGCCTCAAAAAATACTTCATCGTGATGAACTAAAGCAATACCATGGCTCTCATTCTCAGCATTGTCTGGTGGCCTGCACCCTAGACGCTACACTTTATCATGCCTCCCATACAAAGTGGAGTCAGGACTGCTCACCGTGGTACTGTATGGTGACAGCAGCGGGCTAGGGCAGGGGGGGGGGCGCGCAATAGTTACAGGTGGGGACAGGGGAGGAGGGGAGATAGTGACAGGTGGGGTCAGGGTTGCTCACCTCTGTACTGTATGGTGACAGCAGCGGGTTGGGGCAGTGACCACGAGAGGCGGGCTGAGCGGCTCCCCACGTCAGACACCACCACTCCTGAAGGCGCAGTCGGTGGTTCTGTGGGACGGGATGATCGTTACTTTAATTGAAATAAATTATCTTGTATAATATCACACACTCGAAACATATACACGCTCACAAAATTGCACTCACACTCTCGCAAAAATGCACTCATGCTGGTAAACGTGTTCTCTCACTCTCGCAAAAAACTGCGTTGAATGTAACGAAACACCATTTCCTGGGTGAGCCCTTGAGGTTCTCTGAAGCTATCAAACTAACATGTGCTATATTAGTTTTATGTCATCAGTCTTTGGAGCTCGAGTGCCTACCGGGGACCGTGAGCCAGAACCTGGCCCCCTTCAGAGGTGAAGGGAGCAATGGCCATACGAGCCCTCTATATGGGGGAATTTCCTAGCAGGAATTCGTTTGGTTATTTAATATATTTATTTCTCAATTTAATTAAAAAATTAAAGATTAATAAATGGACTAATAAGTTATTTTAAGTAGACTGTAGAGTTAAGTTCGGTTCCAGCCAGGTGTTATCTACTACATATAATTTTTTTTGCGGGGGGGGGGCGATTTCATAATCTATACCACCTGAGGTGGATAACAAAGCTACAAATATTAGTTAACTGCAAGTCACTATGTAAAATTTGAACGCTTAGCTCCAACGTAGTAATGGCCTGATAAGAAGCCCAAGATCTCCCTCAATCATGGACAAGGATCCTTGTTGGTAGACAAGATAATGGCATCTGGAGTAACTTCATGACTCTGAAGATGATCTGGCGTCCTTTTCTGCTACATTACCTGCCGAATAAGTGGTAAGTATCACATGGTATCTGTAAGATGAGTATATTCAACTTAAAGGAGTAAGCATTAATAATTTGACTTACCCATTTTGGTTATATCATGTTTTATAACCAGGCAACCTTTACCAAGATTATGATAATGGCCACCACATAACCATGAAACATACTCAAAAACAACACTTTCCTGTAAGTAGAACGGAATATTTATGTTCCCTGTGTTGCAAGGCTCGGGAAAGATGTACGTGTCGATTATATCAAACACTAGTACTGTACTTTGGCGTCGGTGGGTACACAAGTATGGCGTCAAATGTGAGGAGAATTAACATATCCATGCGTCTCGGCTACCATGTGTGCGCCCGCCGCCACCTCTCTGGATACGTCCTGGACGCGTCCAGTTTTCTCCGATTCAGTTATCAGTTATAGAAGGAAGTTGTTTGTTTATTCATAATTTATTGTTATATCCAGTCTTGATAAATACTTTTCTTAGTATATTAACTCTTAAACTGGAAATATTATATCCATTGGGAGAAACATTAGGTACCTCGGCTGCTTGGCTGACGAAACAATTTCCCATTATTTCCTGGGAGTCACCAGGTACACTGATAAATTTAGTAATGTTAGTATTTTTAGTAAATACCTGACAACCATTTTAACTAGCTACGTCGTGGGTTAGTAATTTGATATCGGAATTTCAGACACTCTATATGTAGTGTTAGCCATGTCTGCCATAGATCATTGAAGGCACCTAAAAAGGTAGACGAACCATTACAAACCTCTAACTGGTGAAAATTGTAACTTACATCCGAACAGAGCCACAGAACGCCTCCAACGATAAACAAGGAAACTAGCAACATATCATCCAACTAGTGCGCCTGTTCCATACCGCCTCACCTTTCCCGACTGGCACTCAGGCGAGCTGGCCACTCTACTCTAAGTTTGAAGAATGATGAAAACCGTCGATTGGAGGTATAGAGGGGGTTAAAGAGCCTCCGGGGCTCATTTAGAAAATGGCGTTTCATTACATTTGTACCTTGACTTTAGCAAAGCTTTTCATATAGTACCACATGAGAGACTGATTAAAAAGATAAGAGGCTCATGGTATTGGGGGTGATTATTAAGTTCTATTAGGGCATGGCTATACCAAAGAAAACAGAGTTAATATAAATGGGGTTAAGTTAAGTTAGAGTGGGAAAATGTTGTAAGTGGAGTGCCTCAAGGCTCTGTCCTGGGACCTCTGTAGCTTATAATATATATAAATGGCTGGTCCACCATGGGGTCAGAAGTACCACTCTCTGTCGAAAGGACTCGAGCCGTGCCAGAACCCAAAGCAGCAGCTGGACCGGAGGATGAAGTTACAGGAACCACCACCTCGACCAGTCCTGCCAGAAAGCGTCCACCGTGAATGCCTCAGAGTCGGAGAATGGCACCACGTATACTGGGAGGCGCCGGGACCAACCCAATCCGAAGAGGTCCACCTCCAAGCGCCCGAACGTTTGACAAGCCAGAGGAAGGTGGCGGTGTCGACTTTCCACTTCGTTGAACGAGAAACAAAGAGAGACATGTCGTCTGCTTGGGCAACCGCCGAGTGATCCGGGTTCCCCTAAAAAAGGCAGACGACAGGACGGCAGCCGGAGCAAAGCCACAGGAGGAAGAGATTTGGATGCAATCCAAGAACCCACATGAGATCCAGTCAAGTCCGAACCCGAGATGAATCCAGATGTGAATTCCTCCGTGACACAAGGAACGCGAACCCAGCAAGCCAGGAAAGAACATCTCTGGTGAGCAGACATGCAGACAATCTGGGAGCCCAAACCAACCAATTCTCGAGGCCAGAACCCGATCCCCTAGCAGGCAAAGAAAGGCCGCCACAACCCGGGTGAAATGCGTGAAAACACGAGGTACCAGATTCAAGCCGAATGGAAGGCAACGAAAGCGGTAAGCCAGACGTCCGACCATGAACCTAGTCAATCCCTGAACCCCGGATGAATAGGAACGTGCCAAGATGCATTTTTGAGGTCCAGAGATATCGTCCAAGTGAAGAAAAGAAAATCTCGAGAAGAAACCGGATCTGGGACAAGGAAGTCACTCAAAAAAAAGTGGCAGTGAATCCAACGGTTCAGATAGGACAAGTCCAGTATGAACCACAGATCTTTTGGGTTCCCTTCTTAAACAAACGGGAACTCGCTTGAGGGACGAAGGTATTTCGACCACTCCCAAGCGAACCCACTCCAAGATGACCTGACGGACTGAGAAGGTGCCTGCCCCGAACAGAGGAGCCGCCGCCCAACGCCACGAAAAGCCGGAATAGACGACATGAAAAGCCCGCGGATCGTGGGATCAAGGATGGGCAAAGAGAACCAACCTCCACCCCCTCCATCGCCCCATCAATGGAGCGCCGCTCGAAAGGGCCGATGGCTCCGAAACTGGCATCAAAGGCCCACCTCGATCTACTAAAACCTGGGCCCCGGCACGACTACACTGGGAAGAGCGAGCCCGCCCCTTCCCGCGGAACACCAACAAATAAGAAACAGGGCGGCAACTGGCAGAGGCCCCCGATAAAAACTGAGTAACAGTCCTCTGGAAATAGCAGGGGACAGAACCGAGACGAAAACTGTATAGTCAGGGCCCAAGCAGAATCTAAAGAGCAAGGACAACCTGCAAACACGCGAGATGAGGCAAAAAACATAGAAACCACTTCCAGGAGGATCGACACAAACAGCTTCAAAAAGGCAGCCGACGCCTAGGCAGCCAAAACCAGAATTTCGGCCGAAGAATCCCTACTCAACGCTTCCACATCCTCCGAAAGCCAACCCAAAGCCCAGCTCGAGAAGACCAAGTTAGCGCAAGACCGTAGCTAAATGACAGAGTTCGATGCTCAACCGTCACCAAGGCAGCTAAAAAAAAAAGGAGGGGACTTGAACATGTAACTGCTCCATACCCATATCACGGGAAAGTGCAGAGCCGAAGAGGCACGCATTGAGGAACTCCAATGAGGCCCTCCCCCCTCAGAACACTTGCAACAGCAAGGAAACCTCTCCACACAAGCGTGCAGGTTCGGTACAGGACCTGGGGCAGAGCCCATATCTAAACCCAATACCCTTGAAGAAAAGACCAAGTCCAAGGTAAAAACTTCAAAAAGAGGACTCTACTGGGCCGATTCCGAAGCTTCGGCGAGGAATTAGAGCTCAACTTCCGTCCCAGAGTCTGAAGGGGCAACCCCTGAAGCCACCCGAGCCTCATCAACAGCTAAACCCCGCCCTGACCAGGAAACCCTCAAACGTTTAGGAGCCTGCAGCAGGGAAAAGGGTGAGAGTTGGGGGGGGGGCAGGACGAACAACTCCCACCTGGGAGTTGCAGAGCAAGAGCGCAGACTCACATGGCCATTGCTCCCTTCGCCTTTCTGAGGCGGGGAGGGTGCCAGGTTCTGGCTCGTGGTCCCCAGTAGGCACTCTAACTCCAAGGACTGATGACACAACTAATATGGCATATGTCAGTTTGATAGCTTCAGGGAGCTGACGAGGATCCCCTCAGAAACGCTCTCAAAAATGATCTCAAACGTGCACAAAAATGCATTCACGCGAAAAAATACACTATGCTGGCAAACATGCATTCTCACTCTCGCACAAATACACTTACACGCTCCCAAAAAATGCATTCACACGCTGACAAACACACCCTCACGCTGGCAAACATACACGCACACCACATATTACATTTTGAGAAGAGTCTATTCTACGCTTTCAAACTTCATAATCACTTTAAATCACGGATGATAAAACACCTTCCCACCTCAGGTGTCTCCACCTCTTTGGCAGGGTCCCACACTGATGCCAGATTACACTCCTCCTTCCCGTCGTATCCCCAGTGGTGGTGCTCGCTTGTGACAGCGATCACCCGGGGGCTGATCACCGTAGCAAAGCGGGTGCTGGCATACGAAAGAGGGGAAGGGAGGGTTGGGGCAGGATCAGAACACACACAGGGTGTATGTACGGGTATGCAGAAGTGGGGAGGGGGGGGGAAGAGTATATAGATACGTGTTGGGACCCACCTATGATAGCGATGTCAAAGATGTGGGAGTGGTCGCCGTGGGGGTTGGTGGCCCGGCAGGTGTAGGTGCCGGCGTCGCCTGAAGTCACCGCCCTGATCTCCAGGACAGCTCGCACCAGTCCACCAACTCTGCTCTCTCGCACAGACACTCTGCGCCCAGGAAGAAAACGTTACATGAATGGCATTGCATTTGTCAACAGCAGCCACGAGGGGCGCCCTGTGTGAACACCTGCAGAACACACACTGGCAACACCAGCGATGACAACACCAGAGTAACAAGCGAGCAGTTGAACAGCAGAACAACACGACATGACTGAGCGCTGCGACCACCAGTTTGCCGTACACAATAGAATTCACACCTGCGACAGGTGTTAACAAAGGCTAGGTCAACGGCCGGGTCAGGTCAGGTCAAGTCCACATTGCAATGATGGATTATGTGACAAGGCACCAAAAAGGGAGGTGGGCAACAACATACCTGACAGCTTCGTGATCGCTAGCACAGCTGACCCGACATGACCTGGCCTGGCCACACCCTGACATGTTATACTGTTAATCTGTTCTGCTGTGTACTGCTCTCTTGTTACACTAATAACATAAGTACATATTAATCAAAGAAACTGCAGAAGGCCTATTCGCCCATACGAGGTTGCACCTACTTATATGCACCCAACCTCATTCATATATAGTCTAGCCTACGCCTGAAACATTCATGTGATCCCACCTCTATTATCTTCCCCGGCAATCAGTGCCACAAATCAGCAACCCTGTTATCAAACCAATATTTACCCAAGTCGTTAAAAAATATAAACTTAAGCATTGCATATATTCATTGTTTCGTATCCCATTTTGAGATGATAAATTTATATTCCTCATTCATATCCTCTTGTTATGCTCATTCATCCACTTGCATACTTCACCTTTCTGGAGAACAGGTGTGTGCGGCTTGGAGGACGAACAAGAAATGTTGAACAAACGCTGGCTGGACAGGACAGTTGAGACTCTGGAAATAGGCACCGATAGTGGAACAGGTGAAGTGTGCCATAGGTGAAGAGTGGGCCACAAGTGAAGAGTGGGCCACAGGTGAAGAGTGTGTGACAGCTAAGGATACAGCTAATAAGTGATATCCAACAACTTGGGCTGGAAGGTAGAGCGACGGTCTCGCTTCATGCAGGTCGGCGTTCAATTCCCGACCGTCCAAGTGGTTGCGCACCATTCTTTTCCCCCCCGTCGCATTCGAAATCCTTATCCTGATCCCTTCCCAGTGCTATAAATCGAAATGGCTAGGCACTTTCCCCCTGATACTTCCCTCCCCCTCTAACAAGTAATGATAGGTAAACAGGTAGTCAAACAAGCACCCAACACGTACACAATATAAACCAAGGAGTGGTTGTAACTACTACAAATATGTAAACAATGGGCGTCTTTACAAAGTTTAGACAAGTAAGAATAAAGTGCAGAGAGACTGTTGGCCCATACGAAGCAGTGTCCGTATAAACTTACGTCCACTCAAATGATCATATAGAACCAGTCCTAATAGCACGTCGTATGAGTCGGTACTTAGCGCTACGTGTGGGAGGACGTTGTTTGCTGTGTCGGCGCCATGGGGACCATTTCTGATGCATTTCCGAAGGTTCCTTTCATATAAAAGGGGTGACGCCGAGGAAAATAAGACTCGCGTCCCTACCAAAAACAAGAAATGGACCTCCCAATCCATCTTACAGATGATAATGGACCCATACCCATATTACGGGTGGAAATGGGCCCCCATACACATCGTGTGATTAGTTGTGAACCCTAATTAGTTGGGCCAGGAGAACTGTACCTGTGACCTGGTGAGATGGGGGCGTGGTGACGGTGCCAGGTGAGGGCGAGGGGGGGATCGCCTGTAGCCTCACACGCCACCGTCACTGTCTGTCCAGCATGACCCGTCACTCGACCCCCTTCCGTCACCACACGCGCCGGTGCTGTTATGAGGGACCATCATACATTAGGCCGGAAGAAACACACATCCCAGGACCATTATTATTGGGCAAGAATCAAAATAGCGGGAGGGACACAATGGCACAAGGAACAAAATAACACAAGGGGACAACAATCATAGGGCAAAGAACAATCATCCTTAGATTATGTATTAATAATACCTGGCACAGGAGCGGGGCTGTAACTTCTGGATACAAGGGAAGAAAGTGGAACAAGGTAAACATATGAGGCATTGACAAGCGTTCCCTCGGCCTGCTCCAACCCTCCCACACCTACCAGAGCTGCTCCATACCTGCTTCAACCCTCCCACACCTACCAGAGCTGCTCCACACCTGCCCCAACCACCCACAAGTAAGCTTGGCAACCCCCACAGTGACCCACCACCACTCACCATGAACTGTGAGCTGGACCACTTTGGACAACGGCTTCCCGACGGAGTTGGCGGCTCGGCAGAGGTACCAGCCGGCGCTGGCGGTGGAGAGCTCCGTCAGTACCAGCGACCCGTTGGCCGCCTGTGATGACCTCACGCCCTCCAGTACCACACTCTGGAACTCTTCAGCTGACTTGCCTGTAACACACGGTGAAGCTGATGGGGACACCCATGGTGAACCAGGGACACGGGGAGGGTGTTAGGGACCAGGGGACAGTTTGAGTGACAGGCAATGAAGGAGACGAAGGGAGGTATATGGAGGTAGATGGGAACAAAATATTACTTGAGCGACTGATGAGAGATGAGTGGGACCAGTTGATGAGAAGGATAGCTTGGGATAAATAATGAGGATAGCTTGGGATAAATAATGAGGATAGCTTGGGATAAATAATGAGAAATTGAAACAAATTGACGGGGAAGTATAAGAGAGGTCAACTATTTAGATATAGGAAATGATGTCGTCTGATGGGTGAGGGAGGGGGGGGAGAAGGGACGGAGGTGGAGACACCCACAGTGATGGGGGAGACACCCACAGTGATGGGGGGAGACACCCACAGTGATGGGGGGGGGATGGGGGAGATGGGGCGTGTTACCTGGGGCCTTGAGCCAGGTGATGGCGGGGTGGGGGAAGCCTCGGGCGCTACAGTCCAGCACCACCGTCGACCCCACCACCGCTGTGGCGCTCACTGGCTCCACCACCCACCGTGGCGACACCTGCAACAGTGCACACATGTCTCACACACACACACCTGCTACAGTGTACACATGTCACACACACACACCTGCTACAGTGTACACACACGCCTGAAACAGTCTATACGTCACATACACTTGCAACAGTGTACACGTGTCACACACACACACCTGCTACAGTGTACACATGTCACACACACACCTGCTACAGTGTACACACACACACCTGCAACATCGTACAAACATCACATACACCTGCAACAGGTGTGCACCTTAAACAGGTTGACAGATTTTTTCAACTAGCAATACTCGCACCTCGGATATACCTCACGGATCACGATACTGCCACTGCACAAAGCTAGGTAGACACAACCTTGATTCAGGTCCACGTCTTTAGATAAACTTTGTATAGAATAAAGCAATATTTTGGTTATAGTTCTCTCTCTCTCTCAAGCTGCAGGATCACCAGTACTACAGTCTATGTCTCATTATTACGTAATCACTCTGGAAAACATTATATCATTTGATAACATTTCTTTCACTATTCATTTATGTAATAAGTCTTACCCCTAAAAATGTAAACCTCAGTTCACTGATTATGTTAAGTTTAAGTCCATGACACTGCACGTAATTACTGCCTTTAAGTAATGTATAATCACTAAGTATCCACTGTTATGTAGAACATGTCAGGATAATTTGTACCATTATGGCATTAATGATATAGGATAAAAATCCACACCTAAACATTTGTCAATTTTATATAAATATTTCACCAAGTCTTTCGCAGTCTCCTGAGTGCTTTCTCCTGGTCTGAGTGCTTTCTCCTGGTCTGAGTGCTTTCTCCTGGTCTGAGTGCTTTCTCCTGGTCCGAGTGTGTGGTCTGGACCAAACTTATATTAGTCGTTGACATGTAAATCTCAATCTTACCACACACTCAGATCCTGAGCAAGCACTCAGGAGTGTGTGAAAAACTGTGTGTGATTCATAACAATGTCGCCAAGTACATAAGTGTGGGTTTTTATCCTGTTTTTATGTCTGTAAGAAGACATTGCCATTACTTATTAAGTACACTGCCTTGACCTTGACGGTGGCACCTGGCCCTGGGTACCCTACCTTGACCCTAACGGTGGCAACTGGCCCTGGGTACCCTACCTTGACCCTGACGGTGGCAGTGTGGTTGGTGGTGGCGGCAGCGTTGGCAGCCTCACACGTGTAGGAGCCGGTGTGGTGTTCCCTGAGCTTCTTGAACAGTAGCACCTGTAGAACCAACAACCCGTCACTGGTGGTCGTGCACCACACCACACACATATACACAACCACAGGTGGTCGTGCACCACACACATATACACAACCACAGGGTCTCGTGCACCACACACATATACACAACCACAGGGTCTCGTGCACCACACGCACACACAACCACAGGGTCTCGTGCACCACACACATATACACAACCACAGGGTCTCGTGCACCACACGCACACACAACCACAGGGTCTCGTGCACCACACACACATATACACAACCACAGGGTCTCGTGCACCACACACATATACACAACCACAGGGTCTCGTGCACCACACACATACACAACCACAGGGTCTCGTGCACCACACACACATATACACAACCACAGGGTCTCGTGCACCACACACATATACACAACCACAGGGTCTCGTGCACCACACACATATACACAACCACAGGTGGTCGTGCACCACACACATATACACAACCACAGGGTCTCGTGCACCACACACATATACACAACCACAGGGTCTCGTGCACCACACACATATACACAACCACAGGTGGTCGTGCACCACACACATATACACAACCACAGGTGGTCGTGCACCACACACACACACAACCACAGGTGGTCGTGCACACCACACACACACAACCACAGGGTCTCGTGCACCACACACATATACACAACCACAGGGGGTCGTGCACCACACACACATATACACAACCACAGGGTCTCGTGCACCACACACATATACACAACCACAGGGTCTCGTGCACCACACACATATACACAACCACAGGGTCTCGTGCACCACACACATATACACAACCACAGGTGGTCGTGCACCACACACATATACACAACCACAGGGTCTCGTGCACCACACACACATATACACAACCACAGGGTCTCGTGCACCACACACACACACACAACCACAGGGTCTCGTGCACCACACACATATACACAACCACAGGGTCTCGTGCACCACACACACACACACAACCACAGGGTCTCGTGCACCACACACATATACACAACCACAGGGTCTCGTGCACCACACACATATACACAACCACAGGGTCTCGTGCACCACACGCACACACAACCACAGGGTCTCGTGCACCACACACATATACACAACCACAGGGTCTCGTGCACCACACACACACACAACCACAGGGTCTCGTGCACCACACACATATACACAACCACAGGGTCTCGTGCACCACACACACACACAACCACAGGGTCTCGTGCACCACACACACACACAACCACAGGGTCTCGTGCACCACACACACACAACCACAGGGTCTCGTGCACCACACACACACAACCACAGGGTCTCGTGCACCACACACACACACAACCACAGGGTCTCGTGCACCACACACATATACACAACCACAGGGTCTCGTGCACCACACACATATACACAACCACAGGGTCTCGTGCACCACACACATATACACAACCACAGGGTCTCGTGCACCACACACACACACAACCACAGGGTCTCGTGCACCACACACATATACACAACCACAGGGTCTCGTGCACCACACACATATACACAACCACAGGGTCTCGTGCACCACACACATATACACAACCACAGGGTCTCGTGCACCACACACACACACACAACCACAGGGTCTCGTGCACCACACACACACACACACACACAACCACAGGGTCTCGTGCACCACACACACACAACCACAGGGTCTCGTGCACCACACAGTCACACAACCACAGGTGGTCGTGCACAACACGCACACACAACCACAGGGTCTCGTGCACCACACACACACATATACACAACCACAGGGTCTCGTGCACCACACACACACACACAACCACAGGGTCTCGTGCACCACACAGTCACATATACATCTATGTAACTCTGCTAACATCACCGTGAACCAAGAGAGGAACCTTCAACAAAATATACACTACACGAAATACAAGCTAATCCTTGGGTAACAAATATACACACAAGAGAAGCTGCCATTTCTTAAGATTTTATATAAATAGTTTGAAAGCAGCTGTAATTTTTTGTAAGATTGTTATATGCGTTTCTACTGTGATTTATTTGTCTCAGATGTAAGCATTAATATTTGGGCTCTATTATCATCTATGTATAAAAATTTATTATTGTTACTATTATTAGAATTATTATTGTTAATATTATTTTGAATATTATTAGCTATACGCGGCCACGCATTATTGTGGCTCAGCAAACCTCCCTTGTCCCCCCCCTGTCCTCCCTCTATTCCCCCCTCCCCCATCCCCTCGTTCTCCCCACCATCCCCCACTCCCTCGTCTCCTTATCCTCTCCACCATTCTTCAGTCCCCCATCCTCTTGTCCTCCCACCATTCCCCACTCCCCCGTCCCCTCGTCTTCCCCATCATTCAATTCCAATACAATGTCACACGAAATAATTAGATCAAAATGAAAATAAATCGAAATCCATGAAAATAAAATTTATCAATGCAATCCGAAACATTGAAGTGGAATCTTAACATATTTAGTATAGCGTGTGTTGCTCTTCGTTAACAAATGTAGCCGTTTTTCAAAACAAGCATGTTTTTACCTGTCACAGGTGTGGCATCTATATAGTTGGTACATAAAAACACGCACCTATTCGAATGTAACGTTGTGTCAAAATTTCAACGCTATCGGAAAAGATGTTTCGGAGATTTCCCTCACATAAAAACTCGCATGAAAAACACAGTTTAAAAAAAGAAGCATGTTTTTACCTGTCACAGACGTGACATCTATATAGCATGTATATAAAATCACGCTCGCATGTGAATGGAACGTTGTGTGAAAATTTCTAAGCAATCGCTGAAGAACTTTCGGAGATTAGCGAATTTGAACAAACGAGCATTTACATTTATATATATATTGTTTCATGCATTGATCTAAGATGAAGAATTACAAACAGAAGTGGATGACCTATAAATAACATTGCTCATTAACTTTCAAAAGATAATTCTTACACTTATATAGAACTTCAATCCAATATTATAATTTTTGATGAAAGATCAGGAAAACGTGTTTATACATGTATGTGCTAGGAGCCCAGTCCCCACACCTGTGTGTGCCAGGAGGCCCAGTCCCCACACCTGTGTGTGCCAGGAGGCCAGTCCCCACACCTGTGTACGAGGACTGGCGCCTATGGTGAAGGGGCGAGTGGTAGTGCAGGTCTTGTTGCCAGTACTCTCACCCTGGCATGTCCCCACAACCCATCCACCACTTTCTCCCCCATCCCCCAGCACCACCAGCCTCCACCACTACCACCCCAGCACCACCAGCCTCCACCACTACCACCCCAGCACCACCAGCCTCCACCACTACCACCCCAGCCTCCACCACTACCACCCCAGCACCACCAGCCTCCACCACTACCACCCCAGCACCACCGGCCTCCACCACTACCACCCCAGCACCACCGGCCTCCACCACTACCACCCCAGCACCACCGGCCTCCACCACTACCACCCCAGCACCACCAGCCTCCACCACTACCACCCCAGCACCACCAGCCTCCACCACTACCACCCCAGCACCACCAGCCTCCACCACTACCACCCCAGCACCGCCAGCCTCCACCACTACCACCCCAGCACCACCAGCCTCCACCACTACCACCCCAGCACCGTCAGCCTCCACCACTACCACCCCAGCCTCCACCACTACCACCCCAGCACCACCGGCCTCCACCACTACCACCCCAGCCTCCACCACTACCACCCCAGCACCACCGGCCTCCACCACTACCACCCCAGCACCACCGGCCTCCACCACTACCACCCCAGCACCACCAGCCTCCACCACTACCACCCCAGCACCACCAGCCTCCACCACTACCACCCCAGCACCACCGGCCTCCACCACTACCACCCCAGCACCACCGGCCTCCACCACTACCACCCCAGCACCACCAGCCTCCACCACTACCACCCCAGCACCGTCAGCCTCCACCACTACCACCCCAGCCTCCACCACTACCACCCCAGCACCACCGGCCTCCACCACGACCACCCCAGCACCACCAGCCTCCACCACTACCACCCCAGCACCACCAGCCTCCACCACTACCCCCCCAGCACCACCAGCATCCACCACTACCACTCCAGCACCACCAGCCTCCACCACTACCACCCCAGCCTCCACCACTACCACCCCAGCACCACCGGCCTCCACCACGACCACCCCAGCACCACCAGCCTCCACCACTACCACCCCAGCCTCCACCACTACCACCCCAGCACCACCAGCCTCCACCACTACCACTACCACCCCAGCACCACCAGCCTCCACCACTACCACCCCAGCACCACCAGCCTCCACCACTACCACCCCAGCACCACCAGCCTCCACCACTACCACCCCAGCACCACCAGCCTCCACCACTACCACCCCAGCACCACCAGCCTCCACCACTACCACCCCAGCACCACCAGCCTCCACCAGTACCACCCCAGCACCACCAGCCTCCACCACTACCACCCCAGCACCACCAGCCTCCACCACTACCACCCCAGCACCACCAGCCTCCACCACGACCACCCCAGCACCACCACTACCACCCCAGCACCACCACTACCACCCCAGCCTCCACCACTACCACCCCAGCACCACCAGCCTCCACCACTACCACCCCAGCCTCCACCACTACCACCCCAGCCTCCACCACTACCACCCCAGCACCACCGGCCTCCACCACTACCACCCCAGCACCGCCAACCTCCACCACTACCACCCCAGCCTCCACCACTACCACCCCAGCACCACCAGCCTCCACCACTACCACCCCAGCCTCCACCACTACCACCCCAGCCTCCACCACTACCACCCCAGCACCACCGGCCTCCACCACTACCACCCCAGCACCGCCAGCCTCCACCACTACCACCCCAGCACCGCCAGCCTCCACCACTACCACCCCAGCACCACCAGCCTCCACCACTACCACCCCAGCACCACCAGCCTCCACCACTACCACCCCAGCACCACCAGCCTCCACCACTACCACCCCAGCACCGCCAGCCTCCACCACTACCACCCCAGCACCACCAGCCTCCACCACTACCACCCCAGCACCGCCAGCCTCCACCACTACCACCCCAGCACCACCAGCCTCCACCACTACCACCCCAGCACCACCAGCCTCCACCACTACCACCCCAGCACCACCAGCCTCCACCACTACCACCCCAGCACCACCAGCCTCCACCACGACCACCCCAGCACCACCAGCCTCCACCACTACCACCCCAGCACCGCCAGCTTCCTCCACCACTACCACCCCAGCCTCCACCACTACCACCCCAGCACCACCAGCCTCCACCACTACCACCCCAGCCTCCACCACTACCACCCCAGCCTCCACCACTACCACCCCAGCCTCCACCACTACCACCCCAGCACCACCAGCCTCCACCACTACCACCCCAGCACCCCCAGCCTCCACCACTACCACCCCAGCACCGCCAGCTTCCTCCACCACTACCACCCCAGCACCGTCAGCCTCCACCACTACCACCCCAGCACCACCAGCCTCCACCACTACCACCCCAGCACCGCCAGCTTCCTCCACCACTACCACCCCAGCACCGTCAGCCTCCACCACTACCACCCCAGCACCACCAGCCTCCACCACTACCACCCCAGCACCACCAGCCTCCACCACTACCACACCCCCAGCACCGCCAGCCTCCACCACTACCACCCCAGCACCACCAGCCTCCACCACTACCACCCCAGCACCACCAGCCTCCACCACTACCACCCCAGCACCGCCAGCCTCCACCACTACCACCCCCCCAGCACCACCAGCCTCCACCACTACCACCCCAGCACCACCAGCTTCCACCACTACCACACCCCCAGCCTCACCGTTGAGTACTCGTGGATTTGTTTGCTGTCAATATCGGGGTCGTGCTGCAGATGGGCGCCGTCCTTGAGCCAGTTGATGGTGATGGGCAGATCACCGGAGTTGACCATGCAGGTAAGCTGCGTCCGCTCCCCCTCGTGCAGGTTCCGACGGAACGAGAACGGCTCTATCGCTGGCGGCTCTGTTTATCGAATACAGAAATTGTAATCAATATATCTCACACACACACACACACACACACACACAGTACTAGGTGAGTACACCCAGTACTGTGCCAGTACACCAATTAGACGAGAACACACACACACACACAGAGTATAGACTCGTTTCTCTCAATGTTTGCTGATGATGCAAAAATTATGAGGAGGATTGAAACAGAGGATTATAGTAGGAGGCTACAAGATGACCTAGACAGACGGAAGGAATGGCTGCTAAAGTTCAACCCGAGTAAATGCAAATTAATGAAACTAAGCGGTGGAATCAGGAGGCCAGGCACAGGATACAGAATATGAGATGAAGTACTTAATGAAACGGACAGAGAAAGATCTAGGAGTTGAAATCACACCAAACTTATCTCCTGAAGCCCACATAAAAAGAATTACATCTGCTGCATACGCGAGGCTGGCTAACATCAGAACAGCCTTCAGGAACCAGTGTAAGGAATCATTCAGAATCTTGTATACCACATATGCAAGACCAATCCTGGAGTATGCGGCCCCAGAATGGAGTTCGTACCTTGTCAAGCACAAGACGAAGCTATAAAAAGTTCAGAGGTATGCCACTAGACTAGTCCCAGAACTAAGCCATGAGTTACGAGAAAAGGCTGCGGGAAATGCACCTTACGATACTGGAAGACTGGAGTGCGGAGAGATATGATCACTACCTACAAAATCCTCAGGGGAATTGACAAGGTAGACAAGGATAATCTATTCAACACTGGTGGTACGCGAACAAAGGGACACAGGTGGAAACCGAGTACCCAAATGAGCCACAGGGACGTTAGAAAGAACTTCAGTGTCAGAGTAGTTAACAGGTGGAATGAATTAGGCAGTGATGTGGTGGAGGCTGACTCCATGCACAGTTTCAAATGTAGATATGATAGAGCCCAGTAGGCTCAGGAATCTGTACACCTGTTTATTGACAGTTGAGAGGCGGGACCAAAGAGCCAAAACTCAATCCCCGCAAGCACAAATAGGCGAGTATACACACACACAGTCCATGACGGCCCAAGATATGATGGACTACATCACGCAGAAGTATAAGGAAGCAACAGACAAGTTTGTCCCAGTACAAAAGGAAAACAACGAAACACATGGTTTAATACGAGATGTAGGCTAGCTAAGCAGCAGAGTAAAAGGGCGTGGAGAAACTATATAATAACAGGGCACTTGAGAGCAGAGAAAGATACCAGAGTGCAAGGAATGAATATGTCAGGTTGAGAAGAGAGGCAGAAGGGCAATACGCAAATGACATCGCAAGCAAGGCAGAGAATCAACCTAAATTCTTGCACAACCACAACAGGAGAAAAACAAGAGTAAAGTAACAGGTAATGAGATTGAGGATAGGGGCAGAAAGATTCACTACAAACGACAAGAAAGTGTGAGAAGAACTGAATAAGAAATTCCAGGTCTTCACATTTGAGCAAGGAGATATTCCAGATAGAGATAATACACTCGAATGAATACTAAAACTGCATTTCTCAATGAGAAACCTTGCTCCTTTAGTCTCTAATCATTTCATGTCAAGTTCCCGTGTTTGGAGTATTTCTGTGCATCAAAAGTTGTGTAATGTCTCAGTGAAGTTACTCTTGAGGTGGGTGTAGTGGCTCCGTCAGGTAGGAGCCGGGACAGGTGGCCTGCAGCCGGGTCAACTGGTTCTTAGCTAGTGCCTCCCTCGGCTACCTCTCATGCCAAGTAGATCTTGAGAGCCCAGAGTTTATGATATGAGTTATCTAGCGATCATTTCAGCTGGATGTTATCCTCAAAAGGACACACATCTGCCTTGAAGAAAGTTAAATAAAGAGCAACAAAACTCATCCCAGATCAAGGGATGCCTCATACAAGGCATCAACGGATGAGGCCAACGGGATTAAAATGCTGCAAACGTTACATGACAGGACTCGTCTCACTAAGACTTAAAATACTGAACAAATTACAGGATGTTAATCCGGACCACTTCTTTAAAATATCATATATATGCCTACAATTGGCCAACAGTTTCACGCACAACAAGCCACAATGTAGGAGGGAAACGGACGCTGTTCACCCATAGGATTATAAACCCATAGAATCGCCTACCCGCCAAAGCCGTACATATTACATCAGCTCAAAATCAAGATACATGCCATCCTCGAGAACAAAGGATGGACCTTTGACATATCCGACGGCTTTATGTCCACGTCGAGACCACTCGAGAAAGTGCAATTCAGGTAAATACAAGTCATTCCTAATATCAATATAATTCTGAAGGTTTATTGAAACTTTATCAGTGGGGAATGAACTCGCTGAGGAGGAAGGTGTGGAAGGGACTCACTGAGGACGTGGAGGAAGGTGTGGGAGGCAGTAGTCTCGCCCTGCCTGCCGGAGACGACACAGGTGTAGCGGCCGACGTCGTCGTGGTTGGCGCTCCTCACTACCAGCGTCCCGTTCATCACCACCTCTTGCCTGTAACACACCGACACACGGGTGACCTGTGGGGAGTGGAGGCGGGGTGTCCTACCTGGTGTGTCTACTGCTGGTGTACCAGGTGTGTGGAACCTGGTGGTGTACCTGGTGGTGTACCAGGTGTGTGGAACAAAGGTACCAGACCTGGTGGTGTACCAGGTGTGTGGAACATGAAGGAAGACAACGTGAAGCCAAAGTTCACACTATCTACGTGAATGTGAACACCTGAGAGACATCAGAAGTATGTGTAGAATAATAAACCCCACATTGTTTGAGTTAGGAAAACCCTATTTGTCAAATATTGATACTCTTCTTAAAAGATTTCCCCATTTTGCACCCGCAAGATAACGTAAGTTTTTAAGGGTTGATAGATGTTAATCTTCTTGTTTGAGGAGCTGTTCACTTGAGACAGTTAAGCAAGTCCCAGTTGTGTCTGGGTACAAGTGACATGATGAACAACCCAGCGGGTTTTCTTCCTATTGGGGAGTGTTGTATATGCTGCTATGGCGGTGTGTCCACTCACAAGATGAGTGGCGCTGCCCAATAAACTCGCCCCTCGGGGCAAAATTTAAATTTAAAAATCCCTTAAGTAAGGTGATGGTAGGGACGCGACCCTCCAGCAGGAGGCCACTCACCTGAGGGAGGTGGGGAGGGAGAGTCCCTCCCTGCGCCAGGTGATGGTAGGGGCGGGGAAGCCTCCAGCAGGGCACCACAGCCTCACGTCCTCTCCAGCCACAGCGGTCACGTTGGGCATCGCACGCACGAATGGCGGACCTGTACGGGAGAGGTTGGTTATTGTAGTACTGGGTCACTCCTGGCCAGCACCCTACAGCAGCTGGTCACTCCTGGCCAGCACCCTACAGCAGCTGGCCACTCCTGGCCAGCACCCTACAGCAGCTGGCCACTCCTGGCCAGCACCCTACAGCAGCTGGCCACTCCTGGCCAGCACCGACAGGCCTTTGACACTCAAACACCCTACCCGTTTCCATGTATGAAAGTTGGGTTAGGCTAGCAATGAGCATCTAGTCTCCTCTTTCAGATTCACATTATCTTTCATAGATATTTACTAGACAGGGTATTCAGTGGTGCCCAGGTCTCCACCTCACACCCTCCCAATCTTTCTCTACACTTACCCTGTTGTGTGTGTTACCCTACACACACACGCACACTCCTTGTCTCCCAACATCACTAAAAAATTTCGTACACACCATCTCCATCACTGCAACCAAAACTTTGTGCCCAGAATGCAACTCTGCCATCTGAACATAGGGTCTGAAAGTTAATAAATTAATTCACTATTATTTAGACTAATGTAAAAGTCTATTGACCTGGGGCAGAACATTTCACATTCAAAGACTTCGTGAAGGAGGAGTTTGGAATATTTCAAGTTAGACAAAATAATGACAATATGATGGAGTGTCAAATGACGCGATGGCCTGGCATAGGGGCGGCTGATGACTACAAATGAGAAATATTATGAAGGAATAGTGCTGCACAGAGTATTATGAAGGAGGGAACTAGTGGACAGCTGTAACAAGTGAACTTTACCATAGACGTTGAGCCTGGCAGAATGGGCGACGGAGCCGTGCGTGTTGTGGGCGGTGCAGGTGTAGGAGCCGCCGTCCCGCACCGTCACCGAGCTCAGGTTCACTTGGCTCACCACCTCCCCCAGCTCCGTCCTGAAGCTCCCCACCCGCGTCCTGCAGGGAGACACGCGTTATACACTCACACCTGAAGAGGAAGATGTCGAGGTGAGCGCTCAGTGGCCTGACCACCACTGACAACACGGCCAGGGAGGATTGACGGCAGCAGCCCTGGTACACAACACGGCCAGGGAGGGTTGACGGGAGCACCCCTGGTACACAACACGGCCAGGGAGGGTTGACGGGAGCACCCCTGGTACACAACACGGCCAGGGAGGGTTGACGGGAGCACCCCTGGTACACAACACGGCCAGGGAGGGTTGACGGGAGCACCCCTGGTACACAACACGGCCAGGGAGGGTTGGCGGCAGAAGCCCTGGTACAAGTGCCACAGTTATGTCATCACGGACTAGGAGCTCTGCTCCACCTCTGGGATGGAGTGGTCAGCTCAGTACGCAACCTTGGTGGGACTCTGGGTAGGCCAGACATGTGGGTACCCTTCCTTACATTATGCCTCGCTTCACACAGCAGTCTGTACCTGGTAGTTACTCTCGTGTCTTGCATCTCTAACATACTCAATCGTTGCATAACAGCCAACCTGTTTTCAAGCAGAAGAAAGTTGAAATCAAACCAAATTTGCAGCCTTACACCTCTTGTTTTTCCAAAACATATTTACAACCAGGTCCTTATTGCTGCTAGTTGAACACGGGCCAACAGTGAGGGAGCACTGACCAATAAGTTGAGGTAGTTAATAGCCGTTACCACTGAACCAGGTGAGGACAGGGACTAGGGAGCCGCCTGGTGACCTACCTGTGGGAGGTGAGCAGCGGCTGGTGATCACGGGACCAGGTGAGGACAGGTACGGGGGAGCCAATAGCTGAACACTTTAAGGAGACGGGGGAGCCAGGTGACACCGTCTGCTCTATGGGCGTGTAGCGCAGCTGGGGCGCCGACTCTGTGGGAGTAGTGGGACAGTGAGTGGGAGTAGTGGGGAAGTGAGAGGGAGTAGTGGGGCAGAGGAGAGTAACGAGTGGGCAGTAAGAGTGATGGGTCAAGACGGTGTACAGACAGACAAGTCACCAAGACAGTATGGTTACATAGCACCTTTCTAAGCGCAGATACAAACAATGGTACTTACATATTAGTCAAGACGCAGGCACCAGAACAAGAAGGCCTCAGCTTATACATTAGAGAGATTATGTTAACTTATGAGAATATATCTGACGTTTATCAAGAGGAAAGATGGACAAGAGCACTGAGAGTGATGTAGAAGAGGCCGGCTCGGGTGCGTGTAGCCTGGTGGCAGAAGCCAATATGGGCAATATATATGGCAGATGTGGTCACCAGACACCAGAGTATGGTAAGCTAAGAAAGCTCCCCCTTGTCGGTTCTCTTCACACAGACGACCAATGGGAAACATATTTCATGTTGCGGAGTTTATTATTGGCCAACTCATTGCATTACTCATTTTTTACTTGTCTCTCTGGGTTACACTTGCATCTCCTATGAGAATCACATGACACGAGGTTTACAACAAGTTGTATGCAGTTTACTTACACCAGAAGTGAGGTTTACCTTGTTGTGAGTAGGGGTTGAGGCCCAAGTCCCTGGAGGCTCGCCGGAGGCCGCCACTCACCCACTCCTGCACGCCCGCACGCCTCCACGCCTTCTGTGTTGTTAAAGTTTGGGTCATTACTTGCTACGAGTCAGCACCCTCACCTTAACTACACACTACTACCACACCTACACTATCACACCTACACACTACCACACCTACACACCCACGCACTGCTCAAAATAAGTGAACATTTATATATGGTTAAATAGACGTACCCAATGAACGTAGGGGAAATCTTAAATCAATATTTTACGGTTGGCAAAATCAGTGCCAACGTCTATAGCCTCTAGACACTATAGCGTCTATAGTGTCGAGATGCTATACTTTCCCCATGTCGAGTTAAATAGCAAAACCTCAGCCCGTCATCATCAAAATATAAATGCTCATTAATTCAACCTTCAAACCCATGGTCATGAATGCAAAGTACTCTAAACGTGACACACTATGGATGACGTTCAAACATTTCTTTAAAAGGGGCTTCGCACCTCACTATACACACACACACACACACACACACACACACACACACACACACACACACACACACACACACACACACAGGAGGAAGTGTAACACAACGTATAGGCAATAGCAATTTAGTGGCACTGAGTGTGCTAAGTGTGAGAGTGGGTGTGGGTGTACCATCACCTTACCTGGCTGTGGTGGTCACCAGGCCGCTGGAACATCAAGTCCCGTGAAAGTCCAGAAGTATGGTCCCCCTGCCTCGGTGGTACTTCTGTAGGTGGTCCACGGGGGCCACCCTCCACAGGTGGACCATGCAAGCCACCTGGACCACCCTCCACAGGTAGACCACGGGGGCCTCCAGGTGCAGGTGGACCACGGGTGCCAAGCTCTGCAGGTGGACCACGGGTGCCAGGCTCTGCTGGTGGACCACGGGTGCCAGGCTCTGCTGGTGGACCACGGGAGCCAAGCTCTGCAGGTGGACCACGGGAGCCAAGCTCTGCAGGTGGACCACGGGAGCCAAGCTCTGCAGGTGGACCACGGGAGCCAAGCTCTGCAGGTGGACCACGGGAGCCAAGCTCTGCAGGTGGACCACGGGAGCCAAGCTCTGCAGGTGGACCACGGGAGCCAAGCTCTGCAGGTGGACCACGGGTGCCACGCTCTGCAGGTGGACCACGGGTGCCAAGCTCTGCAGGTGGACCACGGGTGCCAAGCTCTGCAGGTGGACCACGGGTGCCAAGCTCTGCAGGTGGACCACGGGTGCCAAGCTCTGCAGGTGGACCACGGGTGCCAAGCTCTGCAGGTGGACCACGGGAGCCAAGCTCTGCAGGTGGACCACGGGAGCCAGGCTCTGCAGGTGGACCACGGGTGCCAGGCTCTGCAGGTGGACCACGGGTGCCAGGCTCTGCAGGTGGACCACGGGTGCCAGGCTCTGCAGGTGGACCACGGGTGCCAGGCTCTGCAGGTGGACCACGGGTGCCAGGCTCTGCAGGTGGACCACGGGTGCCAGGCTCTGCAGGTGGACCACGGGTGCCAGGCTCTGCAGGTGGACCACGGGTGCCAGGCTCTGCAGGTGGACCACGGGTGCCAGGCTCTGCAGGTGGACCACGGGTGCCAGGCTCTGCAGGTGGACCACGGGTGCCAAGCTCTGCAGGTGGACCACGGGTGCCAAGCTCTGCAGGTGGACCACGGGTGCCAAGCTCTGCAGGTGGACCACGGGTGCCAAGCTCTGCAGGTGGACCACGGGTGCCAAGCTCTGCAGGTGGACCACGGGAGAAGCCGTCCTTGTGATCTGGGTAGCTCCACCTGCCAGCGAAAGATTGTATTACTATTAAGGAGACAATGAACCCTGCCACAGGGAACACTCCCACACAACACACACACATTAACATCAACAAAGACTGAGCACTCTCAGTCCTGGGGCCGCGCTTGCTCTCTCGGTCATTCCTGAGGTCTGACACCACGACTGTGATGAACCAGTTCCCACAAGCCTCAGGGTATTGCCATTATACTCTGGGAGCGTGCCACGGGCATATTGCTACACTAAGGAAAACAATCTTTATTTATACATAAAACTAAATACGTAACCCGGCGGTTCCCAGGTCTCTCTCTCCCCATCCCCCCTGCCCGTTTCCCCTTCTCTACCCTCTCCCTCCACCCTCTCAGAACACACAGTCCCAAGGAACACAACGTTGTTCTCACAATTGTTATGTGATGCAACATTTAAACAGCATAGTTAAAAAAAAAAAGTCGTTACATTCAAATTCAAATTTTTATTCAGGTAAAAGTACAAACAAAGATGAGTTACAAACATAATGATGGATTTAGAGATAGAGCTAGTACATACAATACCTAAAGCCACTAATAACGCATAGCGTTTCGGCGATATTGTGCGTCGAGATATTATCACGAGCCGAAGAACAGTTGAAGATCTCTCTGGAAAACGCAGCCCGTTTCAGGCTTGGAACGAATTGTTGAGATTCGGAATAGCTGATCCTTCATCGGAATAGGAGTTGGAGACAGTGGCTGTCCCCTACCAGCCCATGACAGCGCATATCACCCATATGTTATCTAGGCGAGTTGGGCGAGACTAGCCCCTAGCCTCTCGCTTTCAGGTTAACTGACATTCTATTTCATACTGATATTTATAATGTTTTCTTAGTAATCTCACGCATGTAGGAATCCAGGGAAGTGATAAAAAGAAAGATATGCAAAATATACCACGAACCTGAGAACCCATTGTCCTGCCTCATTACCCTACCTGAGAACCCATTGTCCTGCCTCATTACCCTACCAGGGAACCCATTGTCCTGCCTCATTACCCTACCTGAGAACCCATTGTCCTGCCTCATTACCCTACCTGAGAACGCCCTTGCACGGAGAAATCACAACAACGTGATGTATCAGTGAGAAAAACAGTAGGAGCCGTGATGAGGGCTCGAACCTATGCACCGAGTACTCTCTCAAGCACACGCCTTAGACCACTAGGCCACGACATGATCAAAAGGAATACAACCTGGAATTCTGCTGATTCCACAAGGGTTCCTGAGGCTTCCACTGAAGCCGAACCAGGGTTTCACTCACGTCCCCCCCCCCTTTATGCACTCTGGCTCTGTCGTCCAAGAGTTCTACCTCTGGCGCTCCTCTGTATTGAAATAGAAGCGTCAGAGGTATAACTCCTGGACAACAGAGCCAGTGCATGAGGGGGGGGATGGGGGGTGAAACTCTGTTCTGCTTCAGTGGAAGCCTCAGGAACCCTTATGAAATCAGTAGAATTCCAGGTTGTATTCCTTTTGATCATGTCGTGGCCTAGTGTCCCTGGTGCATATGAAGGGAGAGGGATTCCTATCCCTCTGTCCCCTGGAGCAGGTGAGGGGAGAGAACCAACAACAACAATAAAACGGTTGTAATACGAGAAAGCGCAGGAAGAATAATAGTACAGAGAGACAGGGAGAGACACAGGGAGGGAGGGAGAGAGAGAGACAGACACACACACAGGGAGAGAGACACAGGGAGAGACAGAGGGCACCGGACGCCCTCGGGATAATAATGACTTAACATCAGCACAAGAGTTTGTTGGAGAACAATTGTCGTCCGTCCTTCCTGGTAATTGGATTGTGTCAAGAGATTGAGTTCGAGACAAAGCCGCAAGGGGTTCGTCTGTCACCAGTCACCTCCCCTCGCCTGTGTGTCCTGGTGAGGGGAACACCCGCTGCACCAATCACCTGCCCTCACCTGCTCTACAGTGATGTACATCCTTACTTTGCGATGATTTACGGGGCTTAGCGTCCCCGCGGCCCGGTCCTCGTCTAGGCCTCCTGGTTGCTGGACTGGTCAACCAGCCTGTTGGGCGCGGCTGCACGCAACCTGACGTATGAATCATAGCTTGGTATATCAGGTAATCTTTGGAGGTGTTTATCTAGTTCTCTCTCTCTTGAACACTGTGAGGGGTCAGCCAGTTATGCCCCTTATGTGTAGTGGAAGCGTTTTGAACAGTCTCGGGCCTCTGATGTTGATAGAGTTCTTTCTCAGAGTACCTGTTGCACCTCTGCTTTTCAACGGGGGTATTCTGCACATCCTGCCATGTCTTCTGGTCTCATATGGTGAGACCAGGAGAAATATTTTCTGTGTGCAGGTTTGGGACCAGCCCCTCTAATATTTTCCACATGTAGATTATTGAGTATCTCTCCCGCCTGCGCTCAAGAAAATACAGATTTAGGCATTTTAGTCGGTCCAGGCTGTGACTCATACGTCAGGCTGCGAGCAGCCGCGTCTAACAGCCTGGTTGATCAGTCCAGCAACCAGGAGGCCTGGTCGACGACCGGGCCGCGGGGACACTAAGCCCCGGAAGCACCTCAAGGTAGCCTCAAGGTAGGTAGGAAGCCCTGGCCCCAGGGTAGGACCGTGCCCCCTCCCACCAGACCAACATGACGCAACATCTCCTTTATCAGTTCTCAATTATTCTGAAGAGCGAAGCTAAAGAGTTAGCAAATGTGAAAAAGCCACGGTTATCTTGAGCACAAAAATACATTAGCATTGCCCCCAGTCAACACAACAACCAACAATGAGTTAATAATTGACACGAATAGTTCGAGTCCAACGAATGAAAAGCTTTTTAGGAAACCAGTGATACACACGAAGTAATTTACCTGATGCAAGTTAAAGATACACATTTTATGGACTATTAAATACACTGGACAAATGCTTTTCTTCCAATCAAGACCTGTTTTGTCTGTGTGAGTCTTTTAACGAGTTCATTGTGGCGCTGTGAGTCTTTTAGAACATTGTGGCGTTGGGAGTCTTTTAGAACATTGTGGCGTTGGGAGTCTTTTAGAACATTGTGGCGTTGGGAGTCTTTTAGAACATTGTGGCGTTGGGAGTCTTAGAACATTGTGGCGCTGTGAGTCTTTTAGAACATTGTGGCGCTGTGAGTCTTTTAGAACATTGTGGCGCTGTGAGTCTTTTAGAACATTGTGGCGCTGTGAGTCTTTTAGAACATTGTGGCGCTGTGAGTCTTAGAACATTGTGGCGTTGGGAGTCTTAGAACATTGTGGCGCTGTGAGTCTTAGAACATTGTGGCGTTGGGAGTCTTTTAGAACATTGTGGCGCTGTGAGTCTTAGAACATTGTGGCGTTGGGAGTCTTTTAGAACATTGTGGCGCTGTGAGTCTTTTAGAACATTGTGGCGCTGTGAGTCTTTTAGAACATTGTGGCGCTGTGAGTCTTAGAACATTGTGGCGTTGGGAGTCTTAGAACATTGTGGCGCTGTGAGTCTTAGAACATTGTGGCGTTGGGAGTCTTTTAGAACATTGTGGCGCTGTGAGTCTTAGAACATTGTGGCGTTGGGAGTCTTTTAGAACATTGTGGCGCTGTGAGTCTTTTAGAACATTGTGGCGCTGTGAGTCTTTTAGAACATTGTGGCGCTGTGAGTCTTTTAGAACATTGTGGCGTTGGGAGTCTTTTAACACATTGAATCATTCAGACTCAATTGTCTGTTGCTGTGTGAATTCATTTGTATCTCATTTCTACACACCTACCCAGTTGCTGTGTGTTTCCTGACACCAGGTTCCTCCGTGGTTTACGTGTCAGTAATGTTCTAGGGGGGGGGGGGCGCCAAGTTGGTTTACGGGTATACATAATGCGGTTTACGGGTATACATAATGCCACGTCAATAGTCTCTCTATGAGTATAATACTGAATATCCACAGCTCTATTTTTCTACCCGTTAACGTTCCAAGACAATATCCTCGCATTTTTTTTTTTCAAGGAGTTTTCAAACTTTTATCGTCTTCTTAACTTATCGTCTTCTTCAAATTTACTAACAAAAGCTCCTTAGACACAGACTCCCAACAATGTAACACAGCTTCTTTCTCCTTACGTCTGCAGCTACTAACATCAGAAGTGTTGTTAGTCTTAACTATGTCCTCCACTTCTAGTTTTCTAACTGCTTTACCTTATATATTATTACATTTTCCACCACGGAGGGATGACCACTGCCATCACCGGTGGATACATCATTTCCTCAGAGACTTCCATCACTATTACTCCATCCTCTTAATGTATTTCTTCGACCTCCGTTTCAATCCTTACTTCACTCCGTCTGCCTGCCATAGCTAACTTTCCTGCTGCTTCAATCCCTATATCAAATATTTTTAGGTATTCCAAGATCTGTGTACCAAGCTCACAGTTGACGAGACTGGCCTGCAGCTCGTCACCACCAGGGTACACGCCTGAGTCTTCGTTAACTAGTGCTACTAGACTAGCCTTAATCGTCGCCGATCCTTTCTCCCACGAGTTGGTCACTGGGGCTATCGTTGTCTCTTCACTGTCTCTTCCTTGTTCCTGAGGAACGACCGTCCCTCTCTTCGGAGCTTCGTCTCTCCTGCTTGAAGGAGCCGGCTTGTAATCTCTCAGGCAGGGCTTCAGGGCCCTCACCCCTCCGAGGCCCCTCACACCCCCCGAGGCCCTCACACCCCCCGAGGCCCTCACACCCCCCGAGGCCCTCACACCCCCCGAGGCCCTCAACGCGGCGAGGGGGTCCTTTGTGAGTGATGTTGCTCTGGCAACCCACTGTGTGAGATAACTTGCCAGGGCTCTCCCCGAGGCGACGGTGGAGCACGAGGCTGTCTAAAAATACTACAATTCTACACACGCCTCCTCGGCCAAGACGGGACAGACACGCCTCCTCGGCCAAGACGAGACAGACACGCCTCCTCGGCCAAGACGAGACAGACACGCCTCCTCGGCCAAGACGAGACAGACACGCCTCCTCGGCCAAGACGAGACAGACACGCCTCCTCGGCCAAG